AGCACATGTGGATTGGTTGGGCAAACTCCCATGCCCCCTCCATCACCCTTGCAAGGGTATAGAGCTGGTCCACAGTTCCACGGCCAGGACGAAAACCACATTGCTCCTCCTCTATCTGAGATTCAACTATCGATCGGACCCTCCTCTCCAGTACCTTGGCGTAGACCTTTCCAGGGAGGCTGAGGAGTGTGATCCCCCTATAGTTGGAACACACCCTCAGGTCACCCTTCTTAAAGATGGGGACCACCACCCCGGTCTGCCACTCCCTAGGAACTGCCCCCGATGACCACGCAATGTTGTAGAGACGTGTCAACCATGACAGCCCTACAACATCCATAGCCTTGAGATACCCAGGACGAACCTCATCCGCCCCCGGGGCTCCGCCGCTGTGTAGTTGTTTGACTACCTCAGCAACTTCTGCCCCCGAGATCGGACAGTCCATCCCCAGGCCTCCCAGCTCTGGTTCCTCCTCGGAATGCGCATTGGTGGGATTGAGGAGCTCCTCAAAGTATTCCTTCCACCGTCTGACTATAGCCTCAGTTGACGTCAGCAGCTCCCCATCCCCACTGTAAACAGTGTGAGCGAGTTGCTGCCTTCCTCTCCTGAGGCGCCGGACAGTTTGCCAGAACCTCTTTGGAGCCGATCGATAGTCTTTCTCCATGGCCTCACCAAACTCCTCCCACGCCCGAGATTTTGCCTCGGCAACTGCCACTGCTGCACCCCGCTTGGCTATCCGGTACCTGTCTGCTGCCTCCGGAGACCCACAGACCAGCCACGCCCTGTAGGCCTCCTTCTTCAGCCTGATGGCTCCCCGAACCTCTGGTGTCCACCAGCGGGTACGGGGGTTGCCACCACGATTGGCACCGGCCACCTTACGACCACAGCTAGCAACAGCCGCCTCGACAATCGCAGAGTGGAACAAGGCCCACTCGTACTCAATGTCCCCCACTGCTCTCGGGACGTGGTCAAAGCTCTGCCGGAGGTGGGAGTTGAAGACCGTCTTGACAGGTTCTTCTGCCAGGCGTTCCCAGCAGACCCTCACTATGCGTTTGGGTCTGCCAGGTCTACGCGGCATGTTCCCTTGCCATCTGATCCAACTCACCACCAGGTGGTGATCAGTTGACAGCTCCGCCCCTCTCTTCACTCGGGTGTCCAAAACATACGGCCGCAGGTCAGATGATACGACTGCAAAATCTATCATCGACCTGTGACCTAGGCTGCCCTGGTACCAAGTGTACCGGTGGGAATCCTTATGTTCGAACATGGTGTTCGTTATGGCCAAACTGCGGCTTGCACAGAAGTCCAATAACAAAACACCGCTCGAGTTCAGATTAGGTGGGCCGTTCCTCCCAATCACACCCCTCCAGGTCAAGCTGTCATTGCCCACGTGAGCATTGAAGCCCCCCAGCAGGACAATGGAGTCCCCTGATGGAGCACTATCTAGCACTCGTCCCAGGGACTCCAAAAAGGGTGGGTACTCTGAACTGATATTTGGCCCATAAGCACAAACAACAGTCAGGACCCGTTCCCCGACCCGAAGGCGCAAGGAAGCTACCCTCTTGTCCCCCGGGGTAAACCCCAACACACAGGCAGAGAGTCTCGGGGCTAACAAAAAGCCAACCCCAGCCCTCCGCCTCTCACCCGGAGCAACTCCAGCAAAGTAGAGTGTCCAACCCCTCTCCAGGTCTCGGGTTCCAGAGCCAATGCAATGTGTCGAGGTGAGTCCGACTATATCTAGCCGGTACCGCTCAACCTCTGCCACAAGCTCCAGCTCCTTCCCCGCCAGCGAGGTGACGTTCCATGTCCCAAAAACTAGTTTTCTTGTCCGGGGATTGGACCGCCAAGGCTCCCGCCTTGGTCTGCCACCCGATTCGCATTGCACCGGACCCTTCATGTTCCTCCTGTGGGTGGTGGGTCCACAGTTGGACGAGCCCATGTATCCGGTTCGGGCTGGGCCCGGCCGGGCCCCATGGGCGAAAGCCCGGCCACCAGGCGCTCGCTCACGGACCCCAACCCCAGGCCTGGCTCCAGGGTGGGACCCCGGTAACCCTCCGGGCCGGGTACTCCACTCTTCGTTTTAACCGCCATGAAAGATCCTTCGAACCGTTCTTTGTCTCACCCTTCACCTAAGACCAATTTGTCATGGGAGACCCTACCAGGGGCACTAAGTGCCCCAGACAACATAGCTCCTAGGATCATTAGGGCACTCAAACTCCTCCACCACGATAAGGTGATGGTTCAAGGAGGAGGTAAACTAGATCATTTAAACCAAAAACATATTTTGGTACCAGGCTGTAAACATGTTTATTTCTGCTGTGAAATTGGTATTTTTAACATGGGAGTCAATGAGGATTTGCTCACTTCTGACACCAGCCCCTAGTGGATGAGGGTGGAACTGCAATTTATTTCACTCCCGCATTGGCCTCACTTTCAGAACCGAGTTGTGGGGGCTTGGTTTAGACAGCTTGCCAAAAATTCTCTGGGTTAAAGAAGGTTCGCTCCGGACAGCCGTTCCGTAGCTTTTCTCGAGAACTTAGTCACCGAGCAGGGAGCTCTTTTTTAATATTCTCATATTAGCAATTCTTGTCCAATCGGAATGTGCCATGTTAAGGGATATTACCAAGAATCTCAGAACATCATGCCTTCTTTCAGATACCGGATGCTCTGATTAGGGGTGAAGAAATATCTATGTGTCATGAGTTTAACTTAACTTTATCTCTCTAATGAACCTTGTCATATCAAACATTACTGATTACCATATATATAAAACCATTCAATGTAATAACTCATTTCATTTCAGTAATTCAAGCACAGATCAATCAACCTTATTGATTTAAGCACAGATTAATGAAGACATTATTATTTCATGAATGATTAACTCATTTAAGCTGAAAACAGTCACTCTTATAACAGTCCAGTCCGGCCTAGATAACCAGGCAGGCTTGGCACAGAAGGACCTTGGGAAGCGAACAGTTTGTTGACACTATGTTATCATTTGCTCTGAGCTGCAGAGAGGCCCGGACTCCAGCTGATGGAATGGCAGGATCCGGCAGATTAAAGGCCACAAATGTAGGCTCCTGTCTCCATATGGCCAGATACTGAAGGGGTCAACTGTACGTGAAAAACTGACCATTTCTGGACATTACAGTAGCGAGGTTTGATTGTTGCTACACTTATTAAATTATCAATAAGATGTGATATTCCATAGAATTATGAATTATTAATCTGATTGGTCTGTGAATATTTGATGTAATATTAGGTTTTTTGGACTATTCAGGGAACACACTTCATATTAATTCAGACAGAGTCATGGATATAGTTTATAAAAATGAATTTAATTCTATCTTTCTAAACTAATAATTATGCATGACAATGAATGAATGAAATGGTGGGACGTAAGCTAGATGTTTATGTAGCAAAACCTTATTAAGTATCTGAGAGGCCTTGTTATGTCTGGGTTGTAAAATCAGTCTGACTGTATGGTTTAATAACCTAGAGATTATTCATAAACTCGTCCAACACCAGTATGCAGAGTCTACGATACCCTTGTGTTGACGGTTGTTCTCGGGGCCCAGGGTGATGGGATCACCGGACACAGGGGCTCCTAGGATCTCAAGCAGTCGCAGATCCCTTTGAGTTCAGATATCACCGGCCATGAGATCCTTCCAGGATCTGCTAGTTGGACGTTCCACGTCTGAGGTGTTGTAGCTTGTGATACCACTCACAAGCACTGCAGAGAGGCTTTGACCTTGAGGTCAAAAGAGAGGATGGTCCCAAGTGCTTGCTCACCCGGTCGGTCAAACTGAGTAGGCTGGCGAAGAACTACCAGTTCAGGAAGTGAACTCTATTTTTATTAACTACTGTTGACAAATTTGGACAAATCAGAATATGACAAGTTTAAAGGCGTTACCAAATACCTCAGGAATACTCGGATACTTAGAGTTTATTGTTGGTGTGGAGCAAAACTGTTAAACATAATATTTTGATATTACTGTGTTCATACTGATAGATTAAATTATTAATTAAAAAAATACTGATCTGGTGTAATTTAAAATCTGAAATGAATCATTGCAGGAAACACGTTCATGTTAACCATTGTAAGGGTTATTTTATGTACTTTAAATTAAGGTACAAATTTGCTTCCTATGGTTCAGGTTTAGGATGTAAATAGGTACAAACTACAAGTACAAACAACAGTTGAAGGTACAAAATGGTGCCTTTGATGGTACCACTCCAGTGACGAGACATGGTACCCCTAACCCCGGCTTTCCACAGGAGCCGTCAGCAGCACGTTACTGCAGCAGCACGTCATAGCTGCTGATAGGAACCGCTGTGGTCAACAGAACCTTTTCCACTGGAGCCGTCGGCAGCCGTCAGCAGCGCGAGTCGGCCGCGTCTCAGGAGCAGCATGTCGCGGCCTTTACGCGCCGGTTCTATTTTCTACGCGCGACGCCTCTGAAACGGGTCAAGTTCGACATTTTTGGGGAAGGAAAGACAGGAAATCGGACGCGGAAATGGAGAGACGCTCCCGAGATTTTCAGAATAAAGAAACGTACTGCCTTCCGGTTGCTTTACTTTTAAAAAAGGTTACCAACTGTGTGGCCCCGTGAGAAGTTATCACCTAGCTAGCGGTCTCCTTTGTTTTTCAGGTCCGTATTGGCGATTATAAAACGGACAGAACATAAAACACAAACCATGTTGTAGTTTTCTCCTGCTTGTTGTTGTGTTTACTGACGAAGTCACTCGTGTGACTTCGTGCTCGGTCGGTGACAGCTGCTCCCTGCTGCTTCGCGTCTCGTGGGAAGGGCCAAGCAGCTTACGCGAGCAAGACGTGCTGCTGCAGTAACGTGCTGCTGTCGACTCCCGTGGAAACCCGGGGTAAGGGTTCGATCCTGTACTTAATTTTCCTGAGTGTGACCACGACCTGGACGACTGGAAACCTTCACCTTTTGGTTTGTTATTGTTTTCCTGTTGAGGTGGCTTAAAGGACAAAGTCAGACTCCAAACACAAAGCCATCATTTTATTTAGTAAAAAAACCAAATGATAAATAGAAAATAGAAACATTAACATGGCTTTTGACATTAAAGTGCAGAAATCAGTCAGTAATGCAGCAGGACGCCGTGTTAATAAGGAGTGAACAGATGATTTGTTGTTCCAAGCATCATTTTGTCATCTGGGGCTGATTTGATCACATGAATCGACTGTAAATGTAAAACTGAACCAAAACAACAAATCGTGTCTGTAAAAATAAAGGCATTAAGAAGCACGCTGGCTACAGGAGCCCAGCAGACTTCAGGTGAACTTCCTGATGAAGCGCAGCTTCAGGTACGCGATGGTGAGGAAGCAGATGATCATGACGATCAGAGCCAGGTGGTTCTGCCAGAGACCCCACGTCGAGTAGTCCACGCCCTGCTTCTCCAGGTAAGACTCCCCCGTGCACCTGGTGACGCAGAAACCACAAGCATCACGTTGCTGTTTACTACTTTAGGATGTAAACTAGTTATGGTTCATCTGGTTAGTTAATGTGGATAAAAATCAACAACATGAAACCATTAAGAGCTGAAAGCAGAAAACATGATTGTGTTTTTCTCTCTGACAGCAGGAGTGGGTTCTCAGGGGTTTCTTACGAGACTGATGGAGGGAGCATGGAGCTGTTTAACCCCGTGCAGAAGTTCAGACCGGGGAACTCGTTAGCCTGCAGAGCCTGGAGACACAAGCAGAGGTTTTACACATCTGCTTAAGGTTTAGCAGCGTTAACCAGACGAGGAACATGACATGTGGCTGTAACAGTGGTGAGGAAAGCTGGATGCTGATCTGCTGATGTCCTACGTACACTGAGGCCATATCTGGGTATACTCAGGTATTTTAACCAAGCCAGCCAGCTGGCGATGGAGGGAAGATTCACCAGCAAACCTGCAAAGATCTGCAGAGAAAAACAACAAAGGGGAGTTTAGACAGGTGTGTTGGTGCAGACGAACATCTAAAACCTGCAGGATGGTGGACCTGAGGAGCAGGACTGGACTCCTTTGGGGTCCGTTATTAATGCTGCACTGGTTCAAACCTTTCACATGCTAATTAGCTACACGCCATCATGCTAACGCGGTTTGTTGGTGTGAAACTAAAGGTCACGACCCTGATCAGAATCCAGAGACAGGACCAGAACATCTCCACGACCGCTGAAAGCTTCAGACTGACACCATGATGTCACTGGTGAAAAATCTACCAATCACAACCCATCAGAGATTCTGATGAGAGCTCTCAGAGAAGGTGAAGCAGCTGGTCTCAAACCTTTAGCTATAGAACCATAATGCTCTTTAGTTTGTCTGGATGAGGAACATTACCATCATGAAGACAAAGGAGATGGTCATGAAGATGTTGGCGATGGCCACCACTGTCTGGTCAGCTGAGATGGCCATGGCCATGGAGGTGGCCGTGTAGGAGACCAGCGCCACGGTGAACATGAAGGTGAAGAAGGCCTCCACTGTGGCCTTCAGACCTGATCAGGAACACAAACCATCAACAGGTTAAAACCAGATCTGGAAAGGTGTCTCCAGACACTTCTGTTTCCCTCACCGATCATGAAGTAGGCCACGCAGGTGAAGACCATGGCAGGGATGGTCCTCAGGGTGAGGATGTCAGACAGGATCTTACACAGGAAGTAGACGGACACTCTGTAGTATCCACTGATGTATTCATGACTGTAGAAGAAGATTCATCAGAAAATCTCCTCTGCTTTGGTTCTCAGAGGAATAAACCTAAACATCTAGGAACGTTCACGTTTTCTTATCGTTACATCACCCTTATGGCTCGTGTCCTAGACCTGTTTAGTTGACTTTGGACCCTCCTGTTCTACAGCACCAGTCTCACTAATATTAGTCAATAATATGTTTTATGAATCATCTTCATTCTGATTCTCACGTTTTACCTTCAAAATGCTCAGATTTGTCACCGAAGTTGTGTTTGTGCACATGCAGCTTTGTGTGTCAAACCCACGTGAAGAGTTTCCTCTCAGTGATGAAGAGTTCAGCAGCCGACAACGAGCTGAAACACTGATTCACAACAATGAAGAAGAGCGAGCCGATCCTGGAAACAAAGCAGTAAAACAGGTCTGATCTCACACAGACGGAAGGTTTAAACACAGCGATTGTGCAGTTTGTCTTCCTGCTGCAGCAAACTCTAAACTTTCATATCAGGTGTTTAATTTATGGGGATCTGAGTGTGTTGACAACCTGCCAAACCAGAAAGATCATAGAATCGTCACATTCTACCTACTAGAAGCAGGAGGAAGAGGGGCACGAGTTTCCACCCGGACCTTTTTAGATGTGACACACTCTGGTCCTAACCACTTTAGAGCTGACTCATAAAGATAAAGTGATCAATGCTAATGATGCATTAGCTGGGTGATGATTTGGGGCTTTTGTCTGTTTACCTGACAGTGAGTGATGTTAGCATCGCTAGCACATGTAAGTATGATAAGCTGATAATTAGGCACAGCTAATAGTTCTGTTGAGGGCTGTTTTAGCCTAAAGAATCAACACATTCTCACTCCCAGCGTGTCAAAAACAAACGCTTGGTCAGCCACCCTCCGCCTCAGACCCCTGACGCCAAAAGTGCCCTTTTTCGTTACTTATGTGCGAAAAGGGGGTTTTCCCTTTTCTAACTGCAGATCCCAATGCAGCGTTACACTGACGCGATGCGGCACCAAACAAGCTCAATGTACCTCACCCTAACCTTATCCCCTTATTTAACCTTCCCCTCACCCCTATCCTAACCTTAACCATCTTGCTAGCGAACACGTTAGTGATGTGTCGGTCGCTCTAAAAGCCTGCTCTGTGAAGTGAACGGCGGGAGCCGCCTCGTCATTGGTCGGGTTTGGACCGAGCCAACGCGAGGGGGAGGTTTCAACCACTACGGTGGAGGTTAAAAGTAGAGGGTATTTTTAACCTCCCCCTCGCCAGATGGTGTGTTCTAACGTTCCCCTTGGGCGGCAAATACGAAAATTCACAGTCAGACTCTGACTGTCAGAGTCAGAATGCATGGGAAACAAACGCTTGATCAGAGTGAGAGTAACGTTTTAGGTAGCAAGAGGGTTAAGGTTAGGATGAGGGAGAGGGGAAGGTTATAAATAGTAAAACGTTAAGGTTTAGGTGCGGTTAAATGAGCTGGTTCGGTGCCGCATCAGCGGATATCCCATCGCGTCAGTTTTACGCTGCACTGGGATCTGCAGTCAGAAAAGGGAAAACCCCTTTTCGCACATAAGTGACAAAAAAGAGCACTTTTGGCGTCTGGGGTGTGAGGCGGAGGGTGGCTGACCAAACGTTTGTTTTTGACGCGCTGGGAGTGAGAATGTGTTGCAAGAATAAGCCTGGTTATGCTGTTAAGTGGTAAACTAGATTAAAGGACAACATTAGGTAAACATGAACAAATGATCTTGATAAAAATTGGCTTTAAAAATCGTACAATATCATTGCTAAATCACCTACCTCTAATTTCTGTTTTTTAAAAATAAACTACAGAAATGGACTAATTACTAATAATATAAAGACAAATAACTATATTGTCAGCTGTGTTTTCAGAAATAGAATTATTAGAAATGATACCTGTTCTGTATTCCGCTCTGATCCTCCTGGACTTTGAAGAAAAGCGCTCCGACGACCAGAGCGAGGAACAGCGTTACCGCTACCTAAAGACATGAAGACAGCAGTAGTAATATTAGTTTCCAGTACAAACAACTGAGAGTTAATTCAGTGCTAGACAATTTTTTTATCAACACGTCATGACCGATAATTACACTCCTGTCCAGCAGGAGGTGCCATAGAACTGTACGGAATTCAGAAAAGAAAGGAAAAAGAAAAGAAAGGAAAAAAACATTATAAAAGAATGAAAAAAAGATAAAATGAATTAAAAACATGAAAAAGGAAAAAAGAAAAAAGAACTGTACAGAATTCACACTGAACTTCTCTATCTGATGCACCTAATCAATTCCCATTTCTGCTTTCATCACAGCAGCAGGAACAGATGGAGGACAGCGGCTGTTTTACCTGAGCGATGGAGGTCTGAGGGTTGAGAATCAGGTTACGGAACGTTCTCTTGAGAACCCACTTGAACTGCGTCAGGAAACCGGTGTTGTAGGTGATGGTTCTGGAGGGAGAGAACTTGGCGGTCTGCTTTCCTTGCACTATCCTGTCTGAAAGAGACGAGACATAAAAATACTTCAGGTTCAAAAGTTAAAATTCGGATAAGCATCTTTCTGAGGACAGTCCTGAGGGGAGAGGCCCAGACTTCATTCTCCCTAGCCACTTGAGCCAGCTCCTCCAGAAGAATCCCAAGGCGTTCTCTGGCCAGCTGAGAGACATAGTCCCCCCGGCGTGTCCTGGGTCTACCTTTAGGTGTCCTCCCTGTTGGACGTGCCTGAAAACCCTCAGCAGGGAGGCGTCCTAATACCGAAGCCACCTCAGCTGGCTACTCTTGATGTGGAGGACCAGCGGGTTCAGGAGTTGCTCCCACGACAACCATCCTACAGCCACAGCTCAGGACGGCCACCTCAACATGGAGGCACGGAGGTGACAATGAAGCTTCTTCTGACAGTTTCAACTCAGCTTTTCAGTTTCGTGTTTAAAATGAATTTCTAACCTTTAGGAGAACTCAAGTTGCATCAAAACACACAGAAATCCAACCAGACTGCTTCTGCACCCACCTAGCTCTGCCTTGGTTTGTCTGTAGTGATGGGAGTTTCTGTACTCCTCAAGCAGTTTGTCCTCAATTCCTTTTCTGGATTTTGACGTAGAATCTGAGTCATCATGAAGATCTGGAACAAAGACTGAGTCACATCACCAGGCGGGGGAAAGTTGTCTCATCACAGCTTTATGCACACGCTCAAAGCTGCTGATGACAAGAGGAAAAGGTAAAGGACAGTAACCTTGAACTCAAACCTCACAACCCCCAGAAGATCACGTTTATGCACCCAGAAGAGTTCGAGAACATGAAATCGGGAGCACGTTTAAGGCTGCTACTGTAGATAGTTCCTGTTAGCTGTGGTCATGAGGTTGATGTTGGCTCCTTCAGGACACATTTTTGTGTTCGTCACATTGTTCTCAAATGTTTCCCATTGCACCAAATGCCATCATTATTTATTGATAAACCAAACTTTCTTCTAATTCCTTTGACTGATGATGACGTTTCCATAACGGACATAAAACCAGTTATTTTTATTCCCATCGCCCAGACAGACCTTCCTGGTCCAGGTTGCTAAGGGCGACAGCGGTGGAGTCTCCATTGATGACGTCCAAGAAGAAGTCAGCAGGGTTGTTGTGAGCCTCGCAGATGAATCCTGGAAAACAGAACCTCCAGACTGAGTTCAGAACCTCTAGAGTTCTTGTCTCGTTTCAAACTGAATGTAGGATCCTTACCGATGTCAGAAAAGTAGTCCAGAGCGCTCTGTGCCGGGCCGTGGTAAACCTGAACGGTGTCGCGTTACACAACAGTTGAGTTCATCAGCAGCATGTGGGCGTTCTCATTAACAGCTGATTTTCTGACCTGTTTGCCGTTGACCAGCAGAGTGAGGCTGTCGAACAGGCGGTAGATGGTGTAGCGGGGCTGGTGGATAGACAGGATGATGGTGCGGCCGTGGTTCGCCATCCTGCAGAAACGCAACGTAGACATTACAATTCCTCTAGTGTGTTCTGGATCTGCCCAGAGTCTCCTCCTGGAAGGCCGGAGGTCTCCAGGAGGCCTCCTGCTGGCTCCTCTTAAAGAGGCTCCTCAGCTCTACTCCGAGTCCTTCCTAGATGTTCAAGCTCCTCTCTAAAGCTGAGTTATAGTTACTAGTTGTAGTTACTAATTACTCTGTCAAAAAGGTAACTGAGTTAGTTACTGTGTTACAAGATTATAAAAGTAACTAATTACAAGGAAAAATAACCATTTCATTACTTTTTTCATAAAAAGAAAAAAAAATGAAGAAAGTTCTTAATAGAACTTTCTTCATTTACTGTAAATGATGAACGACCCGCACTTGTGTGGCGCCTTTCAGAGTCAGAGGACTCCAAAGTGCCCACAAGGTGTATCATCCATGTGGGCGACAGTGGCACAGGAGTTAAGTGCTCGCCCCATAATCAGAAGGTTGCAGATTCGAGCCCCGCTCAGTCTGTCGCTGTCGTTGTGTCCTTGGGCAAGACACTTAACCCACCTTGCCTGCTGGTGGTGGTCGGAGGGACTGGTGGAGCCTGTGCTCGGCAGCCTTGCCTCTGTCACTGCGCCCCAGGGCAGCTGTGGCTACATCATAGCTCATCACCATCAGTGTATGAATGTGTGTGTGAATGGGTGAATGACTGATTGTGTTGTAAAGCACCTTGGGGGGTTCCAGGACTCTAGAAGGCGCTATATAAGTGTGGGGTGCGGTGCCTTGGTCTGCCTGAATGTTCGTGGCTTCCGGGTCAGGGGGTTTAAGATTTTTGGCGTCTGCTTGATCAATCCCGGTGGCTGTCTGGTGGGGTCTGGGTCCCTGGGTTCTGCTGGGTCCCCGGCGGGGGTGGTCGCCCCTGGGTCCTGGGTCGCTGGGTCCCGGGCTCGGCCGGCTAGGGGGTGAGAGGCTGCGGGCGGGCCTGTGGGCTTGCCGCTGATATCTCCCGGGACCCTGCCGGCTGCCGGTTGTGGCCCCACGGGGCGATCCTCTGTGCCTCTCGAGGGGGGCGGGGGCTTTTCTGGTCGCAGTCTCCCTTGGGTTCCTGTGCTCTGGGGCAGCGCCTGGATCTCTGGGACTTGGAGCGCCCTCCGTCTCCTACACATCTTTTGGGGGCGGATCTGTGATCCCTCACACTCTCTATTGGACGCTCCTATAGAGAAACCTTACATAAACAAGCGCGTGTACACACACAGTTGCTCACATGGTGCTCTCATAAGTATGGACTTGGGCATGTTAAACACATGTCTTAAGGCTATGGTGGGCACTAAATGCACTATGATTTATTATCATGTGATTGTTCAGTTAAACAATGTTGATTGCATATTTCTTCAAGTTGACGCAGTGATAGCTTGCCCCTGTTGTATTGTTGTGTGTCCCATTTTTTTCTCTTCTTTCATTTTCTGCAGGTCTAGAAGCAGACTCTTGTTCATTATTGTTTATTTTTGTGGGCAGGCCCTCAACCGTGCCACAAACCTTCCAGGCCAGGTTTGAGCTCAGAAAGCAGCAGACTGATGTTCTACGCTGGATCGTCCCCAGACAGCATTCTATACACAAGCCGACCATGAGCTCATGCAAACCAGTAACAATATCTCCACCAGTTAAGAGAATAGCTGCAACCATAGCTCTCAGGACTAAATGCTGTTAGCTGTAGTGTTTGGTTTGCAACAATCAATGTCATGGATACTTTCATGTCCAGAGCACAGGTAGCTCCTGAGGTTTGATTAAGAGGTTGCAGCCTACGGATATGAAGTCTTGGTGTTTGGGTCAGACCTGTCTAGATTTATCCTCCTCCTTTTGCTTCTGAACAACAAAGTGGCCTTCATCTATTTCTTTACCCGTGTAGCACCTCATTCCTCTCAATGAAACTGTGGCTACATGCATAACTTCATGTTCCTTAAAGCTTAGATCTGATTGGCTGCCTAAGATTCATAAGTAAACCTGGTTGTTTCACCTCTTCAGCAGCAGCAGCACAGAGTTGGCCGTGCTGGCATCGAGGCCCGTAGTGGGTTCATCCAAGAAGAGAACAGGGGGGTCGATGATCAGCTCCATCCCGATGTTCGTCCTCTTCCTCTCTCCTCCAGAGATCCCACGAATCAGCTGAGTACCCACCTGCACAGGTGTCACACGTTAACCTGTTTTCCTCTGATTCACTTCAACACTTCACCTGATTGTCAGAGTTCTGGTAAGTGAAGGCTGTGGTGGTAACCTAGCTGGTTCAAGCCAGAGATCAGAACCTGAGCGTTCCTGTTGCTTCCATCAGAGAAGCTAAGCTCAGAGCTTCTAGACCTACTCTGCTATAATAAAGTTATAATAAAGTTTTATAGCCTCTGAATAATCCCCAACAGTTGTACAATTTACCATCTCCTTTACTCGCTGTCCACCTTTAGCTAGTTGGGACACGTGGAGCTCATTTACAGAAAGGCTAACTCTGTTTTGGAAAATGTAATAATTAAAAAATGAAAACGACGTTCTGAAGGTAAAATCTATCGTTCACATCAGATGCTGAAGTTTTTCTTCTTATTCCATAAGTTTAACTATCTTCAGCCTCTCCTCTTCATCACTCTTCCTCACCTTGGAGTCGGCTACTCGCCCCAGTCCCAGTTCCTGGATCAGCTTGTTGACTTTCTGGTCTTTCTCTTGCTGACTGATGCTCGACGGGAGGCGAAGAGCTGCAGAGAAGGTCAGGTTTTCTCTGACCGTCAGAGTTCCCATCACCACATCGTCCTGCAGAAGGATCAAACTCTAACTTTACATCAGCACATTAAACATTTGTTTTGACTGACTTCATAAAACTATTAGTGACTGAGGCTGATCTTATCGCTGTAGGAGGTCTCAGAGCCACAGGTCTGACCTCCAGCCTGCTCCACCCACCTGGACCACATATCCAGACAGACACTTGAAGTTGGGAGGCTGAGGAGCTCCGTCAATCAGGACTTCCCCGGTCAGACCTGCAGGGTCTTTTCTGGCTGCCAGAACATCCAAGAACCTGCAGGGCAACCAGCTCAGGTCAGATGTTTGGAGTAAATAAATAAAATAGTAACAATGTTGTTTCCTTGTGTATAAATAAAAACAAGAGATGCTTGATTACGGGTGAATCCCAAGCCCCCATAATGCGGGTGAAAAATTGAGGCCAATGCGGAAGTACCAAAATTGCAGTTCCACCCTCATCCACTAGGGGCTGGTGTCAGAAGTGAGCAAATCCTCATTGACTCCCATGTTAAAAATACCAATTTCACAGCAGAAATAAACATGTTTACAGCCTGGTACCAAAACATGTTTTTGGTTTAAATGATCTAGTTTACACTCATGACAACTCTGAGGGTGGTGCATTTTTTTCTCACTCTTCTGCTTAAGTGTATTAAAAACCTAAAATTCTGTATAATTAATGAGCATCAGACCCACGTGACCACAGAGCAAGGTCCGGGGAAAGGCCTCAGTAGAGCCTCGGTCTGGCCTGGAAACTGCTCCGTCAGTTTCAGTCTCTCAACTTAGACCAGTAGTTGTAGCGTTTGTGTATTCTCTTTTGGATATTATTTGTGCAATTGTTGGACAAAATGACTTGCTGTGGCATTAATTGCACTAATAGAGCGTCCAAGGAGTCTCCACTTCATTTTTTTCGGTAAGTAAAATTATATTTATGTATTTTAGGTCACTGCCGAGCTGAGCTTAGATTTTAACATGTACTGTTTAACCATGAAATTTAAATGTAATAGGGTAAAACCCAGTGCATTTAACATAATGCTGCACTTTAGAAAATGGGTTGAAATATAACATGTTGGTGGAGCTGGGTTCCGACTATCGGCTTGTGAAGCTCTCGGGAGACCGATGTTTTCCACCCATTCTCCCCTCCCCGCAGCTCTGCGCATCTGTCTGATCGCGGCTTCTGTCTGCTCCTGTCTGCTGCGCAGGCTGCCGGCTTGTGGAGCTCTCGGAGACCTCTGTGTTCCACCCGGTTCTCCCCAGCGGTCAGCCCGGCGTATCTCTGACTCAGAAGCTCTGGTGTTGTGCACAGTTAACTCCGGTTGTAGCTAGGTTGCTACCTCCGTTAGCTTAGCTCCCACCTCCGCGTTAGCTTTGGGTTAGCTTGTAGCTAGTTCAACCGGGTGTCGTCAGTTGATCCCAGCCTTACAGCCCCACCCTCAGCTCCACCTCTCTTCCCTTTTTTGGAATTGTCTGGGCTTGACGGAACCTGTGACACGGTCAAAATGGGGGTGGTGGCCACCTCCCATTTAGCCGTTATTATTGGAGTCTATGGAAACCCATTGTCCAACATTTACATGTTGATGGTAAATCCCAATCAGAATGATATAAATATGATAACTTATTCAGAAACACTGAAACGCCTTTTCCGGGCAACCCACGATGTGAAAAACACGTAAGACAGTTAAGAACACAGATTTGTAACGATAACTGAATATTTTTACACTTGACACTGGTCTCATTTTCCATATGAACTCAGCGGGTCGTGACGGGAAGTTGCTGTTAGCTTTAAAGGTTTTCTGATCATCTGGAGTCAGAAACAAACATTAAATTACAAATTAGATGTAAACTAAGTTTCTTCAGTTTGGATGTAAAAATGAACCAAACCAGATTAAGGACACAAGATGATTCATGCTTTCATAAAATCCACCATTTAAACCAATAATTAATATTCACAAACATGCATTTTTGTCAACAAGAACGTTTAAATAAACAAGTAATCCCCATTTGTGCATGACGAACCAATCTTTGTTTTTCATTTTTATTCTGTTTTTTTCTTGTCTTTTTTTTATGTGAACAAAGACCAGTTCTATGATGCTTATTTGTGCAACACTCACGATGATTTTCCGCTTCCTGTTGCTCCCATGATGGCGTTCAGACCCGGTTTCATGATCCCACTGAGAAGAAAAACAAAAGCACTCTGAGATTTTCATCATGTTTCATTATGTCCCGGAATCACCAGTCGGGGTCTGAACGTCACCTCCCTCTGCTGGTCTGAGTGGTGCAACGCCAGCATTCTTATCAAAGGATTTTCCAACATAATTCCTGAACGGCCTCAGCTCAGAGAAATAGCATTTACCTCTCACAGCCAGTCCAGGCACAGTTAAAACTGGCAGCTGGAAGCAGCAGAAGTGGTTCTTTTGGCTTGTAGATGACCACAGAACACATAACCTGACCAAAGCGCCTTTTTACCTTCAGAGGTGCTTTATAAAAAATAATGTCTTCTTCTTCTTCTATAAAACTTTATTTCAGACAAAACAGCTGTCCATACTCTAAAATGCCAAAGATATAATAATAAATAGAAGTAGAATGTCCATTAAAACAACAGAATAAAAGCATAAAATTTGTACAACAGAAAATACAAAATTATGAAATTTTTCTAAAAGTTTATAAAATAACAGAAACATGAACCTGGATTTAGGAGAGTAAAGCTGTTTTAATTCCAGATAATTACATTACAGTAAGATGCTTATTAACGTTAATATTCACCTCACATAAATGTTTTAAAACATTTTCATTCACAAAGTGTTAAACATGTAACGGAATGAAAGAACTGTTTTCCACCTAAAAGTCATTTCCCCCTCTCCTCTGACACAGAACTAGTCTGCATGAGATATGGCCTCAAGGTCTCATGCATTTGCTCTAAACTGCTTCTTTCCAGCTCAAGAGAAGAATGAAGACAAAGGACTCTCTCTTTTTAATAAATCAAAGAACTCTATTTTTAATAAGCTAATCAAACAAAGTGATAGTCAATAATAAGACCAATAATGTGACCAATCTGTGAAATGAAAATATTAACCCTTTGATGCATGAATTATGAAATCTTCAACCATGATTTTTTAACAATTTTTTCATTCGTCTTTAGGTGTGAATGAAACAAATTTCAACAAATATTTTTTGTAAAATGTTATAATTTACAAAAAATTTATTACATGTCCATCTCAGTGGGCAGCGTGCATTCTGAGCATGTTGGCTTGGCTTACTGAAGTCCAAACGGAGGGGCTCAAATGCAATAAAGTCTTCAACAGCTGTGCTTAATAGCAAAAACAAATAAATAACAATTTTGAGTACCTGTCCATTGTAGTGACCATTATGCATCAAAGGGTTAAACAGTTGTTGCATTTCAACACACAAAAAATAAATGGAAAAAATAAGATAAATCTAATGAAAAGTGTACATCTTTGACATTAAGCTTAAAAAATCTGTTGACGATGATGATACTGTTCATTTTTCAGAGCTTTTTAATGTGAAAATATGCATTGCAATAGATAAGTTTACAATAAAGTTAGATGATAAAAGTTTTGAAGTTACACTTCTACTACTACTACTACTAGTAATAATAATTATGATGATAATAGTAATAATTATAAAAAATAATTATAATAATACGAATAAATTGTGTCTGAGGAGTCAGTTATGTGGAGGAGATTAGTTTGTAAAAGTTAGTTTTGAGTCTGTTTGTGAAGGAGGAGGTGAGTCTGAGCTTAATGCAGGGGTGTCACATGTTCCAACTTACGTTTTGACTTTGAAAGAAGTCTCTTATATCCACTTTTCGTTTTCTTGACATGCTGCCGCCTGGCTGTGCCTAACTACCAAAGACTCACAAATGAACACTTATTCAAATGTTATGTAATGGAAGCTGAGCTGAGCTCTGATATTACACAGCGTCTAGTTGACGATGTGACTCAGTACCGGTGTTCCCTAGCGGCTCCAAACTAGCAAAACAACGTGAGCACGTTCTGACTGTTTACAACTTGAGTGACAGCAGCAACAGCCAATAATACGTTAGCAAGTATCAGCAGAGCCAATAGATTAGCTTTTGGGCGGGTCTAATAGTAAACCGGTTTCCGTTTCGGTCCTAGTGCTCAACCAAATCCATTTAATGGAGCGTAATATTGTTTTTGGACGGAAAAAAGTGCAGGGGACCAAAACTGCCTTTTGAAAAAGTGGGGGGGGGGGCCATGTCCCACCCGTCCCCCCCCCCCAAATTACGTCCCAGAGCAGACCTCAAGCTGCTCTGTTTGTGCTGTGAGTGGAGAAAAGGCTTCCTCTGCATCACTCTTACATGCAGCATCTCCTTGTGTAAAGTGCGCCGAATAAATGAGCGATGCACAGGGACTCCATCTGAAGCAAGATGATGTTGTAGGTCTGTTGTTGGCCCCCTTAAAAACTCTTTCTCATATCAGGATTCACCTGTGCATGGAGGCCAAGGGTCACTGAGCTTACCGACCCAGTTTAGAGTTCTCATAATTAGTTCTAAAGGTTTTGGAATCAAAACAATGACAACAGTGTCTGCATTTATGCAACTGCCTAATTTGGTTTAAACTATTATTGCACACTTTCTGTAAGTCCTATCAACTTAGTCGAACTCCTCAGATATCACTGTGTGTGTCTCCTAAATTATATATTTGTAGCGTGAACTACACTATCTTTTAACCCTCTGATGCACAAATTATGAAATCTTCAACCATGATTTTTTTAAACAATTTTTTTATTCATCTTTATGTGTGAATGAAACAAATTTCAACAAATATTTTTTGTAGCATTTTGGTAATTTACAAATAATTTATTACATGTCCACCTCGGTGGACAGCGTGCATTCTGAACATGAAATATGTCGACTTGACTTACTGAAGTCCAAATGGAGGGGCTCAAATGCAATAAAGTCTTCAACAGCTGTGCTTCATAGCAAAAATAAATAAATAACAATTTTGAGTACCTGTCCACTGTAGTGACCATTATGCACCAAAGGGTTAAACACGTTTAAGGGAAAAAACATATTTAATATGTTTTTATACACTCAAATGTTAGGGTGACGATCATGTGTAAAACATTAGTTCAGCATGTCCTCTAACACAGCAAATGAACAAACGGCCAGATCTCAGGAGGGACCGTTTATGTATAAATAATTTTTATACTTTTGACTAGGCCTGGGAAAGTAACACATTTTGCTGGACGATATTTTGTCCAACAAATTGTTGATGATAAACAATATCATTGTCAACATTATCTAGACCAAAATAACCACTAATATAATGTTAATATATCATAATAATGCAAGTACACCCTTTAAAATGCAACAAATAAACCTTCATTTAACATTGAAATGTCCAGAACCAGAACATCTAAATGAATAAAAATAACAAACAAAAATTAAATAAAAAAGGAATCTCACTCCCTGTTAGAAAATGTTGCACCAAAAACAATAAAAAAGACCCAAAACAATGGCCTATCCATTGTCAACAGCCAAAACTGCACTTCAATAATGATAATAAATAAAATTAATAATAGAGTTGTACATTTTTTAACTTTTATATATATATATATATATATATATATATTGAGGATGGAAAAATTATTGAGATGGGCACGTGACGTGTCAAGGGGTCTTTACATAACACCCCCCACCCCAAATCCGCACAAGCCTGCTGTGTCCCCCCCACTACTGAAATCAAAATTTCGTCCCTGGGTCTGCTAAAGCACAACTGAACAAGCCAACTTTATTTAGGAATAAAAACAAAAACTTAGTTATTTGGGCATGACAATGGGGTGTTATGCATGGAGGAAGAAGAACACAGCATTCCAAGAAAAACACCTGCTGAAAGCTGAAGCTGCACCGGGGCTGGATCTTTCAACAAGACAACGACCCTAAACACTGCTCAACATCTACTAAGGCGTTCACGCAGAGGAACAAGTAGAACATTCTGGAATGGGTATCTCAGTCCCCAGATATTAATATTACTGAAAATCTGTGGTGTGAGTTACGGAGAGCTGTCCATGCTCGGAAGCATCAAACCTGAATGAAGTAGAGATGTTTTAATAAGATTGGTCCAGAATATCTTCAACCAGAAACCAGACTCTCTCTGGAAGTTATAGAAAGCGTTCAGAGGCTGTTATTTCTGCTAAAGGAGGATCTACTAAATATGGAGTTCATGCCTATATTTTGTTTACACAATTATTATAAACTTTCTGCAAACCCTTTCAACTTTGTTTCACTTCTCAGATATCACTTAGTGATATGTTTAACAGATTTTTTAATTGTAACATCCAGCGATTGGTACATGAAAATCATGAAGATTAACAGTTAAGTACTGTTAATCTCACAGTTGAATCTGTTTCCAGTTGAAAATCCAGATTAACAAAAGTGTCCAGTAGCAGGTAAGGACGTTTCAGCCTGATCTCAGGTCTGTTAATGATTACACTGAACAATAAACACTGCAGATAGCAGCTTTCACACACTGTAGAAAGTGACATGAACACATGGTGACCTTTGACCTGAAACCTCTTTCATAAGACTTATCAAACAGCACAGGATGTTTCGGACTCACAGGAAACATCCGAGTCTTTGAGTCTCAAACGTCCAACGGGTTTTAAAAAGGAACCTTTATTTATTTATTCAGTAATAATACAATAATAATCCACACGGATGTGAGAGATCTTTAGCTAAAACAACACAAATGAAAAAATATTTGAGCATTAAAAGTCAGAAAACTTGTGAGAAATTGTTAAAAATTTCAAATCAAGTGTTCCTTTTAAAGCGTGTTTCCTGTGTTTTCACCAGAACCAGGTAGGTTAAAGCAAAACAAGCACCCCCTGTCATGTGTCCTTGTCTGCGTCTCCCCTCATGTGTCTCCTTGTGTTCTCCACCCCTCTCTATGTTCTCCTTTTGTGTCTCCTAGCACCCTCATGTGTCCTTGTCTGCGTCTTCCTCATGTGTCTCCTGGCGTTCCCCATCTGCCCCCAGATCTTCAGCCCTCTAGGTTTCCCCCTCCCAGGTCCTGTGCCCCCGTGGCCCCCTTTTAGTCACGCCCCTGTAGTTTTTCTTTCTGTAGTGTTTTTCCTTTAGTTTCAGCTCCCCCCTTAGAATATTAGTTATGTTTGCTGCCCTTCTGGTCTTTAGGTTTTTCTCTCAGGTCATTTTCCTTTAGCTACAGCTGTTCATATTATTTAGTCTCTCTAGTGTGTTTTTTTCCCATTGGTGTTTGAGGTTATTTTCCCCTCCTTAGATTATTTATGTTCCTGCTCTTCTTGTCTTTAGTTTTTATTCTTAGGTCATGTTTGTTTCCTCCCTGATTAGTAATTGAGTTCACCTGGTCTATCTCTCCCCACACACCTGCAGCTCATCTCCCTCTCATACTCCCCTGTGTATATAACCCTGTCTGTGTTAAAGTGTTTTGTCGGTCCATTGTTCGTGTCAGTCTCGTTTCTCGTTGCTCCCTAGCTTCTAGTGCCTCTAGTTCTCTAGTGTTTTTTTGGATCTCTAGTGTTTTCATTTGGATTTTGGGTTTTTGGCTCCCTGCCGTCTAGGATTACTCCTAATAAAGGATTTTTATTCCATCTTCCACCTCCCGCCTCGTTCATCTGATTTCCTGCATCTAGGGTTCTAAACTTCCTCCTGCCCACATCGTGACACCCCTTAGTGGCTGGTTTCATAACAAGTGTTAAGCCCCGCCCACTCCACACATATCAAATAGACATTTTCCTGATAAAATAATAAAAACATACCTCAGATTAGGTGGATCTCACTTTCATGATGCGTATTAATTTCACTCATTAATTAGTGGCTAGAGTTAGATTTAAAAGAGGAAGAAGCTGCCTTTTATAACAGACCTCAAGTTAAAAATCATGAGGCGCTTCATAAGAACAAAAAATAAAAACTAGAAAAATACATTAAAAGAAAATAACTTGCTGTTAAATACACACTGATAGTGTGAGGGTGCGTGAGCGGGGCTTTCAGCACCACCTTTTGTGTGCTAAAGGAATATCACATCCCTAAATGACATTGGGTCTGTTGCCATATTCCCCAGATTTGCATCGCCTTGCACCTTGCAGGAGCGGTTTACAGCGGTGCTTTGTGTTATTTTAATCCCAAATCTGCCGTATTTTCCGGACTATAACCAGCTACTTTTTTCCCACGCTTTGAACCATGCGGCTTATGATGAGGTGCGGCTTTACTGAAGATTTTCCTTCACCTGCCAGGGGGCGCTTTAGCAGAAAGTGAAACAGGTGGAAGTCAAAAGTGGAAATCGAAGAAAGTGCTCATTTTAATTTAGCACATGCAAGCAGCCGGCACGACAAAGAATTTGTTTCAAATCCATACCCCCTCATCATGGTAACTACACGTATGAGTTCATATGATGCCACATTTAAGTCGAAGACCATCGATCTGGCAGTAAAGGAGGGGAACAGTGCTGCCGCACGTAAGCTTGGCATGAATGAATCCATGGTTCGGCGCTGGAGACGGCAGCGGGAAGAACTCATTCAAGCCAGCTTCACCCGGGGATGATGACAGCAACACGGACAGCGACACTGACATCACCACAGAAAAGGTATGTGACGAAGCTCTTCTGAGGCTGTTCAACTCCGACACTGAAGAAGAGGACTTTAATGCGCAAGAGGAAGATGAGAGCGAATGACTTTTTCTGGTAGGCAAGTGTGTTTTATTTACTAACCAGGCATGTTTTGTGTGCAGTTTTTATTTTCTAATCATCCTGGGCTTATTAATGCTGTATCAGCGCTGTTCTTTTCTTCTAAACATGCAAATGACCAGTAATAACATGTCAGTGCTGTTTTTATTTTATAACCACCCAGAAATATGAATGCTATCAGTGCTGTTCTCTTTTCTAAACTTGCAGGCACGTTCACCCGTGTTTAAAATTAGTTTTGTTGAATGAAAACAACAACGAAAAACCTCCGTGTAGCGTCTTTCTGTCTCATTATCTTATGTTATGGCCGCACATGCGCTGTGCACCGGAGACCTGCATGTGGCTGCTGCGCCGCGGCTTGTATTTGAGTGCGGCGTGTGTGTGTAGAAAACCTTTTTTTTTTTTGTTAGTGTGGCTTATATTGAGGTGCGCTCTATAGTCCAGAAATTACGGTAAATCAGCCCCTGTAATTCCTTCGTGTTATTTATTTTCACTTGCAGTCAACACCAAGAAAAATTAAGATAATTTGGGAGTAATTTTCATGACTTCTTCATGCCAGATGCTAGTTGTTCCCATTCACTTATATTGTTTATGCTAAGCTAAAGCTAGTGGAATACTGACCAGATTAGAATGACTGGGCTGGTTATCCCACTTATCTTACCCCGGCGGGAATATCCCTTTAAATCCCAACATGGCTGCTCCTGATGCTTAATTTATTATGAACTATATTTATAGTGACTCAGTACTAAAATCCCCATTAATTAAAAACTCCCAGGTCTCAGTTTTCTCCGTGACGTTTTCCAGTGTTTATGTGAATCTTGGTGCAGTATTTTCAGTTCTGCTTTTGCAGGATGTGAACGTTCTGGTTACGCATTCTCACTCCTGTGGAACTAAAAATGCTGTTGTCCTTTCACCCGATTGAAAACTCAGCATCAGCCATGTTGAAACGGTTTAGCAACAGTCTGATCCTTCAGGTGGATCTGAAACTCATGACTCAGCACCACTCTGCCGCCGTGATGCAGCAGTTTAGTTCCTCCCGAGTGGTGAGTCATTCTTTCTGATTTCTACTAATTTATAGTGGTTTACAGTTTGTGGTTTAAACCAATGAACCGATGATCTTTACTTAAGTAAAATCTGTAATTCAAGCAGGTGGAATCTCACCGAGACTAAAACCTGAACTAATCTGGAGGATCTGGTTCGTTTCCCAGCATCTGGACCCTTTACAGTTTTGTCTTCTGACTCTGATAACAACAGGATTTTACTTCCTACTGTTACTCAGCAAAATCCTCCTCCATCTGGTCTCTGAGGAACAGCTTCCTCCCTGTTGACTCAGCAGATCCTAAAAACTTATCGTTTTAATCTCATCCTAGAACACAAGGAAACCTGTTCCATCCCTTCCCCTGTGACATAAATACCTCAGGACACACATGTAACTGTTTATGTAGATAACCCAAGATTAACCCTGTCTGTTAATAATTATTCACAGTAAAACACCGGAGTCACCACCCTGAATGCACCATAAACTACATCCACAGAACCACTCGCTGCCCTTTGACCTTTGACACAATAAAAAGTGGTTTCATAAGAGCTTAATTAGATCAGCTGCTCCTGCCGCGGCTCAGTAAACTCTTCAGATGGTTCAAAATTTGGTTCCCTCCTGGGTTCCTGCAGACCTTTTGTAGTTTCAGGTCTGAAGACAGTTGAACGCTGAAATAAAACCAGTCTTTAGCTGCTGATTACGCTCAGATGACAGGTTTCTATTCATTTGGGATTTCAGATTAGCAGGAAACATGGATTATTTCCCCTTGACTTCCAGTCACGTTAAAGTCAAATTTTGTTGGACAAATTTTGTACACATGAGACATAAGTTGTGGCTTATTTTGAGGAATCAGAAAAAACTTATTTTTAAATGTTATTTTTAGATGGTATTTTTGTGTGTCCAACCAGCGAGCCGAAGACTGATTTATAATCTGTTGGATCATTTGTTTGCTCTCTGAGACATGACCTAGGACATTCCTCTTCATCTTCTATCTGTCCAGTCCAAAGTAGGACAAAGTGTTTGTTTAATCAACAGTCAGACCAGATATAGCAACACTCATGGTTTCACATCTTGTTCATGTAGGATTAGAATTGTGACTCAGATCTCAACATATTCCCTTAAACTATCCACAGCTTTGTGAGACGGTGTCAGCAGAAGCTCAGGTTCCTCTCTTTTTCTAAAGATGTTCAGAGGGTCCAGGTCTCCGTGTCATCGCTACCATTTTCTAAATAAAACGATTTAAACCAACCAACTGAATCCTGTCATTTTTGGAGTGTATCAGGAACAGAGTTAGTGCGACCTCTTCCTCATCTGGAAGTCAAGGGCCAGGAAAACTAGGTCTGCTGGCTGGAGATGATCTAAACCAAGGAGCTTTCTACAGTTACAGAACCTAATCTGGTCTCTGGGATGCTTCATTTAGATTTTATATTTAAGTTTTGTTGTATAGGTGTTTATCAGGAGTTTGGTGCATTTGAAACCCTTTAAATAAAATAAAAAACTTGCGGGTTTAGTCTCCAACTTTAATCCTCATGAAGGTTATTTTTATGTAACTAAGCTCCTGTGAGCCAGTCCGATCCCTTTAGAACCAGAACCTTGTCCTGGACCAGCATCCTGCCTCCGGGCCTGTTTGTTGGTTTAAAATCAGTCTCATTGTCCTCTAACGAGCTTCTGTATTTACAGCTTGGAGCAGAAACCTGAGGCTCCACAGAACAAACTTCCTTCCTGTTTCCTCCCAACATTAGAGTGTATTTGATCCAGAGCGTGGGTTTTCCTCCCAGGTGGACTCCTGACGGCACGTAGACACACAAACCTAGACCTTCTAGCTCCTCTGATGATGGCCGAGGCCTGGAGAGCTTCTCAGGGATGTTTTTACACACTGTTTGGTACACTCCTGCAGTCTGTTTGGTCTGTTAAATATAACCGGTGACCTTTAAGATCTACATGAATTTAGACGGTTAGCTAACTCACTTCAGGTCGATGAGGATGTCTTTGATCGTGGCCTTTTTCCGACATAAACAGCCTCCTCCCTGCTTCACTTTGTAGTAAATATTGTGAAAACTGACGGTGGCGCCATGTTGGTTTGATCCTGCAGACTGAAAACGGTTCGTTTTACTTAAAAAAAAAAACAAAATATGTTCTGTTTTACAGAAGCGGTTAACGTTAGCATACGGCGGTTAGCTTACCTGTTTGGAGACGCCGTTCAGCCCTGAATCCAAAGCTTCACCGCTGTTCGACATCGTTTATCTCCTGGGTTGGTTTGATAAAGGAATATTAGACAAAAGGGTAAGTGTGGTCCTTTTAAGTTTTATATTTGCATTAGCATAAATAAATAAATGAAAACAGAAACAAGTGCAACAGCTAACGGTGCTAACATTGCTTTGGGGGAATTTCTGCTTCTTTCTCAAGTTTTGTTCAGGCTAAAAAATTCCGTTGCAAGAAGCACATTTTTAGTGTTTGAAAACTGATGATAAAATGAGTCATGCTAAGCTAGCTGTAGTATCTCTGATCTGACCCGGACTCATTTACTGAGTGAAATTTGTCCGTAACGCTGCCCGGCAACACATTTTACTAAAAGTTTAGATTTGATCCTTTTTTTTTTACTTTCCTGTTCCTCTTGAAAGAAGCTCGTTGGTTTTAAATTTTAATTATTCCCTTTTATTTTCTGAAGTCAGATTATGTGGAAAATGTCACATCCTGGTTTCTGTTTTAGTTGTTTCTCACACACCTGATTCAGAGGCTGAATCACCTGTTCGGCAGCTCATGAGGCTGTCCACATACCTGTTCTCCACCTACTTAATGAAACCAGGTGTGTCGGAGCAAAGAAATCTCCAAAACAAAAAGGATGGTGGCCCCTGGAGGACACGCCACTGATTTAGACAGAGACAAAAAAGTTTTAAATCTATTTAAATCCTTAAATGTTTTACTTTTAGAACTCTTCATCAGAATTACATGATGTCACTAGTTACAGATTTATACATCCTCCTAAAGTAAACGGGTTTATTTGAGTTAAAATACCTTTAAAAGGTCAGACCTTTGATACGACTGTTTTCCAGCTTCTCCTGCTCTGAAATGTCAGAAATAACTACGTTTAATCCTGATTCCTCTTTTCAGTGGGACAAACTGTTTTAGGTGTTTAAACATCAGGCATCCATCCATCCATTTTCATCCGCTTATCCGGAGTCGGGTCGCCGGGGCAGTAGCCTAAGGCAAGAGGCCCAGACTTCCCTCTCCCCAGCCACTTGGGCCAGCTCCTCAGGGGGAATCCCAAGGTGTTCCCTGGCCAGGTGAGAGACATAGTCCCTCCACCGTGTCCTGGGTCTACCTTTAGGTCTCCTCCTGATTGGACGTGCCTGGAAAACCTCACCAGGGAGGCGTCCAGGAGGCATCCTGACCAGATGCCCGAGCCACCTCAACTGGCTCCTCTCGATGTGGAGGAGCAGCGGGTCTACTCCGAGCCCCTCCCGAATGACCGAGCTTCTCACCCTATCTCTAAGGGAGAGCCCAGCCACTCTTCGGAGAAAACTCATTTCGGCCGCTTGTATCCGCGATCTCGTTCTTTCGATCATTACTAAAACACTACTAAACTACTACTGTCACTACTAAACATCAGGCAAAATATTAAAAACAGATCAATACCAGAGGTGAAAGAGAGACGTTCTCACCTGCTGAAGACTGATGATCTGCTGGTGAGAAGAGCTGCTGACAGAAATCCAACCAGCGGGATGTTGAGCAGGACTCTGCTCAGATCAGTGTGTGTGTGTGTGTGTGTGTGTGTATGTGTGTAAGACAGAGAAGGCGGTCTGTTTAGCCTCCACAGGGCTGACAGCTGCGCATGTCTGCATGTTTTGTAATTTTTATGACTGGGGCGTGACGAGGGAAGTGAGGAGAAGAGCAGCATCTGCAATCCAGGGAGAGAAGAAAATCAAATGTCTGAGGGTCACAAACAGGAAGTTGCAGCATTATCTCTAATAGATACATATTTAATTGTAATTCTGCACTATTCTAAAAGCCAAAGGTTTACTAAAACATCAGATCTTCACACAGCAAGCAGCATGTAAAACACACGTTATTATAAAAACCTGTTTAAAACACTGCAGTGATGTCTCATCTATAAATACGCATCAGAGCCACTGTGGAAAAAATAGAGTGACAGTGACTAACAGAATAATTATACCTATGTTTATTGTTGTGTATTTTGTTGTAGAGGGTTCTGGTTTGCTAAATCATCTTTTTAAGAATTTGGTATTTTATTGTGGTATTTAGAATACTAAGGAACTTCAACCCTTCAAAGTAAAAGTCTAAACCATAGAAATATCTTCAAAAATCCAAAGTTTGTGGTAATATTTTTTAAGTGACAATGTGTCGGGTTTTTTTTTTACCATTAATCTCTGGAAACATCAATCGAAATGTTGTAGTAAACGACTTAAAAGTTGCCCATTCGTGTAAAATTATTGATGGTTTTGTAACATATAATCATAAAAATCGGTTCTAAAATACATGGGAGCGGGTCAGAGTCTGGGAGATGCCCATATTACATGCCGTGTTTGTCCCTTTGAGGACAAAATGCATCTACTGATTTGTAACAAACGGTTACAAATCCTTTGCCATTCATTAACATTGTTGTTTTACACATTTACCTCTTCACTCGTTGCCAGTGATGAGAGGGAGTCCGATGTGCTTGTTGTTTTGCTGGAGGTTACTCACTCAAGGACTTTTGACCCTAATGACCCTCCATTGGTAAGGTCTTACTCAAACACAAAAATGCTTCTTATTTGCAGTGATTTAGGTATGTACTGCCCCCTATTGCCAGGGAAAATACACACCATCACTTTAAATTTTACCTGGAAATAATATTAAAAACTATGTCTGAGGTATAAATTATTACCTTACTTCAAATTTTTCATTTTCACAATCCTGTTCATGATTGTTCTGCTTTAAAAAATTTCTTTATATACAAGTAATAATAATAAAAAATACAAATTTTTCCTGAGCTATAGGAAGCTTAGGTCGTGTCCATCTACTCATACCGGTATATGTACTTTTAGTCAATTGGTGCACCTGTGTAAACTGCCCCTAATAACTGAATGCAAACAAAACTCGACTCTGCAGGAATTTGTTTTGCAAAACAAATGTACGCCTTTGAAGTTTTTCAGCCTTCATCTTAGCTTTCATCCATGCAAATGCTTTGTACTTATTGAAATAACATTTTGCAAAAGTAAAATTGTGAGTGAGTATCTGAAATTTAGCAGAAAATCCTTAGATTTTTGATATATAGCATGCCTTTGATGAATATTCATGAAGTCAACAGAGTGTGAGAGCCTGTGCCCCCCCCCCCCCCTACACTCCCATGGCCCACACCTGCTCAACCACTCCAGATAATGATCACAGATCTGTCTTTTGAAGATCTGTAAAGTGCTTTGGTACCTACATACACGCATGCCTGCACAAGCACACACAAAGGGACACATGTCAAAATGCTATTTTGCAGAATAAGTTAATTTTATACATTCAGTAAGGCTTATTTTTTGAAAAAAAACACTGAAAAATTATTAAAAATTATTAAAAATATTCATAACATACTTCATACCGTGTACATTATAGCATACGTAATGGATCCATTTCTGTAATATACTTACACATCTATATTATTGCTAATATATATTGTAATACATCTATTTCATGGCTAAAGCACTTCTGGATGGATGCAAACTGCATTTCGTTGCCCTGTACCTGTACATGTGCAATGGCAATAAAGTTGAATTCTATTCTATTCTATTCTATTCTAAAAAGTACAATTACCAAAAATTCAGAACACACACATGCTAACTATTTTATGGCATCTCTAAATAACACACAAATCATTTTTTTTTTGCTAAATATGTATTATAATGGGCAGTCAGAGGTAAAGAAATACAGCTAAATCATTCAGTTTAAATGCTGGGTCAGCCATTGCCCTGCTATATATGGAGAAAGTATGCCATGTAGTGAAAAACGGTAAAAACTGCTTCTTACATTTGTGATGAGACTGTAAACATGGGCACAATCATAATTTTTTTAAATTATGCCAATATTTATGCTAATTAAAAATATTTGATTTACATGAAAGTCAATGGCACAAAAAATGCTTCAATGTGCTTAACTGTACAAAATGATTTCCACGTTTTAATAAAGTAAGTTGAATATTTTTTCAAACTTTTTTTTGTAATTCCTTCCAAAATACACATCCTCCATAAAAATTAGATAAATTGCATTAACATAGCCGAAGTTATTCACAAAAATACACGTGTCAGCACAAAAAAATGCTCTAATGTGAGGTAAGGGTTAATCTTTTATTCAAAAATCCACCGGGTAAACAGTTCTGTCCACAGTGTGCTGCGCTCTAAAGGCTCCGTGTGAAACGCTGCAGCGCATTAGTTCCTGTCTCCGAGGCAGCGCGGGGAAAAAAATTCCGATCTCTTCAGCACAGGGGCCATAACAGGGGCCGGGGCAGTTCTATAGGGGCCCAGGCCCCTGTGGGGCCCTGTTTAAAACTGCCAATGCCCAGTAGGTCCCTGAGGTCCAGTGATCAAAGCCTACTGGTTGTGCAGCACCAGGCTAAAGACCAAAGGTGACAGATCATCTGCTGCTGTGGCCCCAGACTCTGGAACCCTCTCCCCCTGAGCCTGAGATCAGTGGACTCAGTGGTCTCCTTTAAACTCACCTGTTCAGGCTTTGGTGGGACCTTCATCACCTCCCTCTCCTTATTGTGCTCTTGTTCCACCTTTCCCAGGATCCACTCATTTCCCTCTTTCACTTTCGTTTTCCCTTTCCTTACATTTTTAATCACATTTTTTCGTTTAACATTTTTTATTTTTGGTGTTTGTGAAGCGCTGTGCGGTTTTTATCTTAAGAAGCTCTATGTAAAAGATCGTTTTCTTTCCTTCTTTGACTTATTTGACACACACTCGACTGTGCAAGCCTCGCCTGGCTCTCTGCTCTGACTCACTCTGGAAAAACAGATTTAATCATGAGTAAACGGTCTCGGCCGCTGCACCGTGTGCATGTGCGAGCCATTCCCACTCATTATGCTGCGATCCGAAAGGTGGAATTGAAACCAGCACAAAGAACGACGCTTCCAAGGGCACTGGGAGCACCGGGACAAATCCATGTGCTGTTGGATAACGAGTTGCCACGGCAACATGGCAGACGGGCAGGGGGTGAGGGTTGGACAGCAGTTGTCTCAAGACTCAGCTGGGGTAGTGGAGTCGTGTGTTTGCTGTACCACATAACATAACACACACACACACACACACACACACACACACACACACACACACAAACACATACACACACAAATGCCCTGCAGAATCTTTACTTTGACGTCACATCTTCTACAAACGTGACTGATCAAACATTCCATCATAGGTTTCATTACTTGATAAAAATCAAAAAGATCCTGCAGGTTATGCAGATTACCAGTAGATGGCGCCAAATACACCAGATACAGGTCTGTAAACGTTTCCTGTACTTTAACAGGATCATTAATGATGTGATTTTTAATGTTAAAGAAGTCCGATAGAGTTAAATAATTAAACATTTTAATTATTCTGATTTAATGAATTTATGTGTTAAAGTTTATGTTAAAACTGAGAGCTGCAAATGCTCACTGAAAGAGTGTGAAGATGTTCTTGTTTTCCTATAATGTCCGCAGATTCACGCTAGTTAAATAAAAATAAACACACACACACACACACACACACAAACACACACACACACACACACACACTATAACTGGATCTAAAAAATCTTGTGACTTACTGTGTGCTGACCTTCATGAAAATGTGTGTGTGTGTGTGCGTGTGTGTTGTACTTTCAGCCTCATCTCTCCGTCATGTGAGAGACTTGGGAGGATTTTGGTGGGTTTCTATATTTACCCTCCAGCATCTGAACGTCTCACCAGACTCTGGCAGGATGAGGATGAGAGGTTCTGCAGCGCCATCGGATGATCCGACACCCGAGACGATCAGTTGCTCAGTCAAGAGGAACTTCATGAGAAACTGTATTAAATCTTTGAGCCAGATGTCTGCTGCAGTAACATGAAAACAAAATAACACCTGGGACATGCCATGGCTTCATGCCTTCCGCATCTGAAGATGTGGTGAAACATCCTCGACACGGATGGGGAGGGCCTGGTGTTTCCTCTTAAAACACTTCCAAGTTTCATGCAGGAAATACATTCTTCAAAATAAGTTTTGCATTAATAGTTTTAACGTCAATGTCAGAATTACCACTTTCTTTTTATTTCATTTTCTCCATCAGCAAAACGTTTGTTTATCTAAAGTAGCAGCTGTGTCTGAAATCGACCCGGAGAGAGAAGAACCCTCAAAAATCAGAGGACGCCTTAACATGTTGGACTTTATTCTTCTCAGAGGTGACTTTTTGGGACAATGTTCTGGTTTAATGTTTGGTTTGACTGGTCGGTAACTAATGACCGGTTTTAATTTGTCTTAGAAATGTCAAGCCATCTGTAATAAACTCAAATTTAAACTTTGTTTCATTTTTTCCACCATGACAGTTCTGTCACATAAAAAAGACATAAAACACACAGGATGTTTAAAATGTTGGAACTAAAAGCAAAACATGATGAAACAACCTCGACGTACCGAACAAACATGGCTGCAAACTTCCATAAATACGTATATATATACAACATGAATTCTTTTACACTTTATTTACATAGTGGTCAGCTGATTATTACTAACATGATGATAGTGAAGGATAGTGGGAGGGCAGTTTGTTCTGCATAGTTTTAATGTATTTTATCGTTTAAATAAAGTCCAGTTAGGATTGTGTTCAGAGCTTGTTGTGTGTTGGTGTTGCTGACATCATCTACGCCCATCTGCCACTCGAAGCAAAGTTCCTGCTCATGCTGTAGATGGCCGTGGAAGTTTTGTGTTTCCCCCAGGCTCCAAAAGGGACGATGACGATGGTGGCGTTGTCCTCGGACCCGTACTGCAGCGCCTGAAATACACAAATCGTCTTCAAGTCCAGGCTTGATCAATCGAGTGTACATTCATTAAAACATGGTTAGTGACTTGTAACGTTTATATTTGATTTCTGTCAGTACTCCATTAATCTGTTAGGGACCAAACTAAAATGTTTTACGTATTTCAGCTAACGGTTTTATGACAAATATTAATGTTAACAGTTATTGGCCAGAGGTGGGAACTATGTTAAGTGTTAAAGTTATTAATTAGTATGATTAAAATGGCCCAAATTGCTTTGATATGTACGATAAATTCCAAAAGTATCAATAAAGTGGCATTAAGACAGATATGGTGTGGTGATCCAAACAGTTCTGTTGTAGGATATAACTCAGACCTCCTGCTCTCCTCATTCTCACAGACATTTTCCTAAAAAGCTGTTTTTATGCCTCATAGTTTCTCAACTTCTCTGTTGTGTATTCTCTCCATCGTGATAATAACGGCGCACCGAGCAAAAGGGAGCAGGTGTCTCATAGTATAACCATCCCTGTGTCACTGAAGGAAATTCAGATGAGCCACAGAGCTGCGTGTGTAAACGGGACAGTAGTTGAGACTCCCGTTGACTTCATTTGCCAAATGCAGGAAAAGCCAAAGTGTCTGACGGCTGCAGAACCAGAGATCGCAGGTTGACGCCTGCGCCGTCTCTAGTAGAAGCGTGAGCCTGCAGCAGCAGCAGACGTCGGCGGTCTCCAGCTCTGCAGCTGCACCTTTCAGCGAATCAGCCAGGCCGAAAACGGTTTATGATTGGTCAGTCCTCGTGCACATGTGCAGATTATCGTTCTCTTTCCTTACTCCCGGAAGAACGGTTCAGAGTGCAAATGGTTTCTTTGTTGCTAATCTGTGGGGAATATCTACAAGAAAGTTCTACAGAAAGTAGCAACGGGTCCGGAGAAATGTCGCTAGGTTTGTCGCTAGGCGCTATTTTAAAAAAAAGTCGTTGAGGGGGGTCAAAATGTCGTTAGGAGCAGTGACAAAGTCGCTGAGTTGGCAAGGAGTCCAGAAGGACAGGTAGCAGTTCCAGATGGATATATACTGTAATTATTTTAGATCAAACCTATGTTAGTTTAAAATGCGTGTAGGACGCGGACATATGGCTCAGACGTTTTGCAGCACATGTAAACACTTTTTTACGTAATAATTGAGAGCGCAATGTTGAACAAAATACAGGTAATCAAAATGTACTAGAGGCAGCAGCTGCCCTGTGAGACATCTTTGAGTGACGTATGTGCAACACAGTTCTCCACCTTTTAGAGGAGAGATTTTTGATTTTCTATAGCGATTTATGACAAAATTCTTCAACAAAATGAAAAACGGAAGCTAGTTCATTTTTATATAGATGGTAAAGTGTAGGTACACTGAATTTCTACAATTTCAGCCAGTCCGGCCAATAACTGTACGACTAGGAACATATCGATATGGTAATAAATAACAGATCAAGAGAAACTAAAAACATTCAGATTACATACATTTTCTTAACTGATCTTCAGTTCCAAAAACTGCTTAAATGCATTTTACTATTTTCCCAGAATTAAAGAATTAATAAAAATACATTATTTTGTATTTTAATTGATTAACAATAAACACAAAACAGTGTCTCTATTTTTGCATCTTATCCAACTGTTACTAAAAAATCAATATGGCAAAACATTGGTGTCCCTCTGGGACGATGATTAGGTCTACTGTTATTTACAAAGTTTTCTTTGCTAATGTCACATGAAGCTTGCTCATAAAAGCTTAAGTTTCAAATACATGTTGACATCTTTTGGTAAGGATAGCTGGGGTTTAATTAAATTGAGCTGCTCACAGATTTTCCTCCAAAGGATAATTTTTATTCCATAGTTTTTAAGGATTTTCTTTATGCTGTGTAAATACAACAAATTCACATTTTATAGGTTCTATAAGCTAATTTTCTATTTTTTTAGCTTGTATTTAGTTCTAAATATTTGTAGTTTGTTTTAACTTTCATGCCCTTTTAACTGTTTGTAGTGAATTAAGTTAGTCTTAACTTTGGTTTCTGTTGCCTTGTTGTGAAGTTGATGATTGCATCTTAATTTATGGACTATCTACCTGCTCAGAGATGACCTCGGCAGCCTCAGTGGGGTCATGGCACTGGTTGATGACATCACAGATCTCCTGGTCACTCAGCAGGAAGTTGATTCCATCTGTGGTCAAAGCCAGGAAGGAGTCGTGGGCGTGTTGGACCTAAAAAAGAACAGACAACCCATAGTACATTGATCTGAGAATATTAAATCTGTTGTGTCAGCGGGACTCACTGTGATACGATGTGTTTCTGGCTCTGGGATGACGCCGCTGGACTTCAGGTGGAAGTCTCCGATGCTACGTGTCATGGCGAGTCGCCCGTTGACGTTTGCCTGGCCGACGCTGTTCCACGTCAGGAACCCACCAAACCTCTGGATGCTGGAAACAAATACAGATGAAGGATTAGGGAGTGTCTGGTAAAAGACCGACCTGCACCAGCTTATGTATGTGCAACTTTCTGCTTCTTCAACAGCTAATGACAACATTTCAGCCATGATATTAAGATGAGGAGCTGTAATCAGTTTTAATATCCACTACAAAGCTCCTATTTGATGGTTAGTTGTGTGTTGAAATAAGATCTTTAACCAACAGCTGCTGACACCAATCAGTCTGACTGAATCTGTTTCATAACACCGGCTGCTTTTAGCTAAAGGGAATCCCGAAGCTCCGCTCTTGTTTCAGCTACTGGATGAACGTCACAAATGTTCGTTTCCACTCTATTTATACCCCATGACCTGATCAGCTGTTGGGAAACCTGAACCCACTCCACTCTTTGACCTCTGCAGCTTCAGTTCCTTGCCAGAACCCTCAGATCGTAACATAAAAGACAGAAGTAGTAATCAGTGAACTCTCATTCGTCTGCATGAGAACAAATACCGTCAGTTTTAGGCCTTAAACCGCTTAAGTTGTGTTTATTACAGGTAAAAAAAATGAGGTGGTCAGCCTGATGATGTTTGCAGCCGCAAACGAAACGTTGCAGGTAAATAAACCTTTTCTGTGTTTTAAAAAGAAATGAAAGATGGAGTTTGAAACTCAACACAGCAAGAACACACCAAAGCTGTTAAAGGTAAAAAAAAAGTTTTCTATGTTTTGCAGCTCTGAATTCAATTCAATTCAAGTTTATTTATAAAGCGCCAAATCACAACAAGACTCGTCTCAAGGCCCTTCACATAGTAAACATTCCAATACAGGCCAGTTCATTAAGCTAATCAGTAAACCGTTTCCTATTTAAGGAACCCAGCAAATTGCATCAAGTCACTGACTTGTGTCAGAGTCTGTACAGCAATCCTCATACTAAGCAAGCATTTAGTGACAGTGGAGAGGAAAACTCCTTTTTAACAGGAAGAAACCTCCAGAGGATCCTGGCTCAGTATAAGCAGCCATCCGCCACGACTCACTGGGGATGGAGAAGACACACACACACACAAACACACACACACACACACACACAACATATATACCAAGTAATGTTCCTATGGTTACATTGCGATTTCTTAGTAAATATTCTATTTAGTGAGAGATAAACTTTATTGTATTTATCCAAGTGAATCTATAATTTAACGGGTAAACTAGTAGTAGCACATTCAATGTCAAAGCAAGTAAAATGTTATTATCAGGAGAAGGAGAATGTTTAAGTGGTTAGCAACAGTGTTCAAGACGATGGCCCTCTCTATGAGGCCACCACAGCTCAGCAGAACATCATTGGAGCTTCTTCTGGGGAGAAAAACACTTAGAAAAAAAATAAAGTTAACAGCTGAAATAGCAGGAAATGATGCAGTTAAAGAGCAAATTGTAGAAGAAAGTAGTCGAGTGTGGAAAGTGGTCATTATGTCCTCCAGCAATGAATGAATGATCCATCCTATCTACAGGAACGTTTATATCAGCTAAGACCAACCAATCAGATGTACCTAAGATGTTCTCTATGGTAGTGCGTCCAGCAATGGTCAGTTTTTAGGTACTGTTTGACCATTCAACATCTGGTCAAAAAGGAGACACGAGACTGCATGTGTTCCCATTAAATTGGCCTGCCTTCATCCCATCAGCTGGAGCTCAGAGCCTCTCTGCAGCTCTGAACACATGACAACAAATTGTCAACAATAATGTTCTCTCCTCAAGGTCCATCCTTATCGTCCTACAGGATTCTTCATGCCTAACACTCGCAGTCCGGATCAGTTGCTAAATCAAAGAATGATTTCATAAATTAAATATGAACTTCTAAAACGTATAAGCTAGATAATCATTAACTAAACGTTTGTTTATTGCTACTTATAATAATTATAATATAAGGAAATGTTTCATTGATTTGTGCTCAATGATTGAAGTTTGAAATGAATGTTATGTTATGATTACAGTGATTGAAATATGTTTCAGCATGTTAATATGACAAGGTCATCACCATTTTCACTCACACAAGGACAAAGTAAGGTTAAGTTAAACTCATGACACATAAATAGTCCTTTACCCAGATCAGAGCATCCGGTATCAAGGGAGGTGTGTGTTTCTGAATTGTCTTGGTAATATTCCTCAAACTTGTCAACCTCTGGTTGGCTACACAAATCATAACATGAGAGCATTAAAACTGGATCACTCTGGTGATTCATCAGTAGTTCTCGAGAAAGCTTCAGACCGGCCATCTGAAGAAAAACCCTCTTTAACCCATCAAAGCTTTTGACAAGTCGTCAAAACCTTTTTGCACCTGCGAAGCTGATACCGCAACAGTTCCTGTAGAACAAGCTGGTATTGTATAGACTCCTTAAGAGCCTGCCAGACGCGCGGTCCCATCCATCTGACCGGTCTAGTGGTGCCGCAGTTTCTTCTACAGACCTCGGTGCCTGGAAGTCCGAGGACTTCGACATTCCGGATCTATCACGAGGGTCTTCGAGTGGGTATGTAGACATGACAGATTGCGTCTGATGTGTTTTTGATAATAATCAACTGCATAGCTTAACGTAAACCAAATTATTTTACATCCAGGACTCAGCTCTCCTAGATACGGAAGTTCTGACAACATTGCATTCACACATAGGTTTCATACATCACATCTAGTTCCATCCACTCACAGTAAATGTTAGTTAACCTGTCAAGTTTTAATTGTTTGTAAAATAAATTCTTACTTTTATAAACCTGACTCTTTTCTGAATCAAAACGAAGTGTGTACAATCCCTTAATGAATAAAGAATCCTGGAATCTTCTGATAAACACAATAAAGACCAAGCAGGTTGATATTCTATATTTAGATAGAGTATCACAGCTTATTGGTCATAAGTAGAGGTAATATATATATTGAGCTCTTAAAGCACTCAATTTTCCAAACCCTACAGTACGTATCAGCAGCTACGGTAAACTGTCTGAACAGGGTAGCGCATTGTGTACCGTTGCCTCTCGTCTTTGCGGTCAGGTGTGTGGTCTTTGGTGAGCTTGTTGCGTTTTCCCTTCCTGCACAGCAGCGCCCGGCTGTCTCCGACGCTGCCGACCACCAGTTCCACGCTGTCCCGTAGCAGAGCAACTGTTGCCGTGGTACCGACTTTCAGAAAGGAATCTAGGAAGGACGGAAGGCGTGTTTCAATTATTCATTTGATTTGATGTAATTTAAGCCTTCAACTCAGAAATCAACTCTTTAGTTTCTATATCTAGCTGATGCATGATTGGTTACAAAAATCTTTTTTTGGGAAGTTAAAGGGTTAAATTTCACGAATCTTTAACCCTTTGAAGCTGACAGATGAAACGATTGTCTGCATGGCTTACCATTGTTGAAGTACTTCAGATGAGTGAGTAGAGCCGTGTCGGCATCTAAAAATGCTTTCCTTAAAACCCTCTCCAGATCATCGCTCTCCTCCAAAGCGTCTCTGCATCAGAACATTCAGCGGTTTGTAAAGCTGTCCACTAGAGGCTTCTCTCAGAGTTCATCTAATAAAACTCAACCTGATGAATTTTTCCATGAAGGTGTAGCAGTAGTCGGCAGCATGAGGCCCGCCGTGGCCGTCGAACACGGCAAAGTACAGCAGGTTGTCGTGGATACGGGCGATACGGAGACGATCCTCATTCTGCTTCCTGCGACCAAAAACCGACGCACTTCCAACCCGAGACAGACTGACCTGAGAGGAAAACAAACACGCTCAACAGCTGGGTTTGACTGTTCCTCTGCAATGTTCTGTTTATTTGTGTGTTTACTCACCTGTGGAATGGGTTTTCCATATTTGATACTGGATGGCAGCAGAATCGGTTCCTCTATCCGGTTGTCCCAAATCCCAAACGAGTCCCACGTTACTGGTAGGCCACTGCCATTACTTCCAAACCTGGCCGACCCACCGGCCTGCCGAACACCGACCAATCCCAACAACCCTCCATCCACCTGAAGGACCACCAGAGGGTAGAAAATGGCCAGATTATACCTTAAGTCAAATAAAAACCTGGCCTACGTTATAAAAGAGTTGGGGTTGGGTTATTTTCTACCGGAGGAGGGATTTATCTATCTTTGGCATCCTGGTGTCCTGGTGGATCTGCAGACCAACATTGTCTTCAGTAATACGGGTATTGCTCCTGTCTCTTGAGGTGAAGGAGGAGCTAATTTCCTACATCCCAACCCTCATCTACAGTGATCAGATCTGAATCATGAATGATAGGAGGTCCTGATTCCAAACAGTTAAAAGGTTCTTCCTCTGTTGGGTGGCTGGGTTTAGCCTCATGGACTAGATGAGGAGCACAGAAGCTCCTCCTCATCAAAAGGAGTCAGTTGAGGTGGTTTGAGCATCTGACTTGGATGAGAGGAGAACCTGGGGAATACCTCCTTAATAATCTATACCACAAGATCACTCTGAGGAGGGAGGTTTGGGATTACCTCCTGGGTGTGCTGGACTTCATATTAAGTACCCAATATGGATGTGGACAGATTTACCTGCCCAGACACTGTGGAGGCTTCAGTTAAGGACCGTACAGCGAGGAAGGTTTGTCTGCTGGTGGAGGAGCGACCACAACGTAGAAGGTTAAGGAGCACTGGAGATGACATGGCTGAGTGTCAAACAGCTGCAGAGATTTCAAGAAGGTATAATAAACCTGGCCTGGTTGCAGTTTTCTGAAATAAAAAAGTAAAAACATTTACAGAAAGTTTAACAAGATTTCACCATAATTCTCTTGATTTAAAACACTTTTAAAAGCATCTGGTGGACTGATGTTGAATTGAACTGTAAGGTAGGATTCAACTGACCTATAATTGGTGACATTAACGTGATTTATATTCAGTGTTGTCTGTGTCTTCAGGACTATAGCGTGTGTGTCTACAAATAGTCGTGCAACTCTGCATTTTCACTACTTCCTTTCCTATCCGTTACAAGCAGTCGAGCTCTATAAATACTTGGCCTGATTAGCAACACCTCCATGAAAAAGACACACGAAAAGTCATTTTTTTTGTAATAAATCACAAACATGCCTACTGTACATTAAACAACACATTATATTATATTATAGCATTTTGTCATGAAGTTTATATCTCTGGCCAATGAGAAAATTCATCTAAATGTTAATTAGTCTGACGAGAGTTTAGAGCAAGATTTGAAATTGAAGTGTTACATTTTCTACTAGAACACTTCAGAAGTTATTGCATCATTTAAATTGTTCCATTTATTTTTGTTATAAAAATAATTGTAAAACAAAAACAGTTAAATTGCTAAGAAAATATTAAATATTGACATCTTCTACACATATAATAAATTTGCTGCATAAAACTAGCTAAAGACTAGCTAAAAATAGGTATATGCAGTAATAGTAGCCTATAATATAACATATTCCAAATGTCTTGAAGCAAACTTATTTTTATTTCATTTCAAGGTCCTGCTGAGAACCTGTGACGGTTTATAAGACATAAAATCAGCAGCTGCTGGTTGAGTTGCAACAGAAAAGTTGACATAAAAAATGGCGGATTTCAAACAAAATCAGACCTTTTCCGTGGTGACTTCCCCGCCTTTTGCAGTTTCCTTGGCAACAGGTTTCCACCCGCAGTGGCCTCGAGCCGTCGGTCGCGCTCGTGCTGTGGTTCTTCAGCTCAGCTGGAAAAGATTTAAACGGAGCAGAAGCCGACCGATGAGAGGAGGGCACATCATGACGTCATCATATCTGGTGTAGTGGGGCTCTGGTTTCCTCTGCTAAACAGGTTGGAATTTCTCAAATGGAATATCAGTATGTGAGTGGAAATAAAGCCTCGCCCTCTATTTTAAAACATCCTTCATTTCACAAGAAAAACAAACTCGTTAACTCAAACTCGTCATTATAATCACTCATTTAATAATTAAACATTAAATTAGACTTGTGTTGTCATATTCATCACAACTACCTCTCTCTCTCTCTCTCTCTCTCTCTCTCTCTCTGTATATATATATATATATATATATATATATATATATATATATATATATATATATATACAGAGAGAGAGAGAGAGAGAGAGAGAGAGAGAGAGAGAGAGAGATGTATATACTGTAGATAGATAGATAGATAGATAGATAGATAGATAGATAGATAGATAGATAGATAGATAGATAGATAGATAGATAGATAGATAGATAGATCTTGTCTGGTCCCATCCCAGTAAGGAGTCAGGTGGCTCACATTAGAGTGATTGCAGGGTGGGGTGAGTCATCTAATAAAAGCAAGCCCCCACAATGCGGCTCAAAAATTGAGTCAAACCCGGAAGTACCAATAATTGCAGTTCCACCCTCATCCACTAGGGGCTGGTGTCAGAAGCGAGCAAATCCTCATTGACTCCCATGTTAAAAATACCAGTTTCACAGCAGAAATAAACATGTTTACAGCCTGGTTCCAAAACATGTTTTAGGTTATAGATCTAGTTTACACTCATGACAACTCTGAGGGGGTGAATTTTTTTTCTCACTCTTCTGTTTAAGTGTATTAAAAGCCTAAAATTCTGTATAATTAATGAGCATCAGACCCACGTGACCACAGAGCTAGCTCCGTGGAAAGGCCTCAGTAGAGCCTCGGTCTGGCTTGGAGACTGTTCTGGGATTTTGAGTCTCTGTGTTTGTGTATTCTTTTTTGGATATCTTTTGTGCAATTGCTGGACAAAATGACTTGCTGTGGCATTAATTGCACGAATAGAGCGTCCAAGGAGTCTCCACTTCATTTTATATTTATGTACATTATAAAACACATTATATTTATGTATTTTAGGTCACTGCCGAGCTGAGCTTAGATTTTAACATGTACTGTTTAACCATGAAATTTAAATGTAATAGGGTAAAACCCAGTGCATTTAACATAATGCTGCACTTTAGAAAATGGGTTGAAATATAACATGTTGGTGGAGCTGGGTTCCGACTATCGGCTTGTGGAGCTCTCGGAAGACCGATGTTTTCTCCCCTCCCCGCAGCTCGGCGCATCTCTGTCTGATCGCGGCTTCTGTCTGCTGCGCAGGCTGCCGGCTTGTGGAGCTCTGGGATGGAAACCTTTCCACCCGGTTCTCCCCAGTGGCAGCTCTGCGCATCTCAGATTGCAGCGGCACTTCTCTGCTGTGTGGCTGCCAGCTTGTCTCAGAGACCTCTGTGTTCCACCCGGTTCTCCCCAGCGTAAGCCCGGCGTATCTCTGACTCAGAAGCTCTGGTGTTGTGCACAGTTAACTCCGGTTGTAGCTAGGTTGCTACCTCCGTTAGCTTAGCTCCCACCTCCACAATAGCTTTGGGTTAGCTTCAGGTTAGCTTGTAGCTAGTTCGACCGGGTGTCGTCAGTTGATCCCAGCCTTACAGCCCCACCCTCAGCTCCACCTCTCTTCCCTTTTTTGGAATTGTCTGGGCTTGACGGAACCCATGACACGGTCAAAATGGCGGTGGTGGCCACCTCCCATTTGGCCTCAAAAACGTGTTATTGGAGGCTATGGAAACCCATTGTCCAATATTTATATGTCGATGAATAAAAGGTAGCTGCCTGCTCTTTCAGCAGGACAGCTTTCGTATGGCACTTCAGGTGCTGGGGTAATGAGAAAGCCCAACTGCCATATTAAGGCTGATCCGACTCAGCCGCGCTACGACAGCACGTCTTTGCCTCTGATTGGGGGGGGAGGGGGGTTGTACTGATCCAGGGGAACCATGCCAGTTTATTTGTTTGCAGTGTCTGTGCGCCGAGAGCCGCTGTTGGTACAGGATCTGCTCGGGTGCAGGATCGGCTCGGGGTCCTTCGACTGCCGATGACGTCAAAGTAGTTGATTGGCTGAACATGAAGCTTACGGAAGTTACGTTATCACGTTATGATTTTGATTGGTCAGAACAAATTTGCGGTCGTAGTCTTAGCGGTTGTAGTCCTGTAGTCCAAAAATCAACACTTTTGAGAGAATTTGTTTGAATTTCTAAAGGAAATGTAAAATATAAGCAAATGATAAACAGTGACCCTCAAAAGGTCTTGATGTTGATGAAATGGGGCAAAATAAATTATAAGAACTTTATTGAAAGACACCAAGAAATATTTTGAATCAAAGAATGTATTTAGATAACAACTAAGGAAATATACAGACGAACTCCACATTAATACAAACAGATGTGGCTTCACATATAAGAACTGTTCTATGTTTTGTCAGTCCGATGTTGGTTTAATGCAGTTTCACATTCTTTACAAAACAAAGATAATCTGGTGTTTTATTAACAAATTACAATTATAAAGAAAACATTTAGGTGTTAACAAACAAGAATTTATTAACAAAACAGCTGATGTCTTTCCTAAACGTGTGTATGAAAGCCGAGTAGTTTTGCAGTAATGTGACGTCACCGGCAGTCGAAGGACCCCGAGCCGATCCTGTACCCAAGCAGATCCTGTGTAGCTGCCCCTGGCACCATGAAGAAAAGAACGGAGAGCCTCAATGGGTGCGCAAACTTTTACTTGTTTCTCTGGTCCAATGCCTTGGACTTTACTCCATGAGTTGCACCGTGAAAACTGTTTAGAGATATACAAAGCATAAATAAAAGGTGAACACAACTTCGATGTCATAACAGAAATAGATTACAGTATATTCTCACATTTACCTTGCTCCGCTGGCCAAGGGTGCTAAACAAAACAATGATTCCTCAAAGCTGCTTTATCTGTAGATTTGACATGGTGATGGACAAGAAAAACAAACAATGACTGTAGAGTGTCAAACTAATAACCCAAACAAAAGCGTCAATAAAGAAAACTTACGTGGGGATGCAGTCGGCAATGTGCAGCTGAGGTGAATTTAGGCTAAAGACATAATTTCAATACTTCAAACAGTGTTATCTTCTCTACAAGTTAACCCAAGCAGGTTTCTCTGGAGGGGTGTGGCTTATATAAATTCTGTGAGCCAATTAAGGGTCATTGCCATCAGTTGCTCAGCTGGAAGCTAAATCCTGTACCGACACTGCTATTACATTCAGCTAACCCAGGGTGGCGTTGCTGCAACCACCTTTTAAACCATTTATTCAATTGTCACGACTACCACATGCCACAGTGATGTGCCAAAAAAACCTATTTAAATAAATAGGCTGACCTTTTGCTGCTGTACACGCCGCGGATGCGATTGAAATCGCGGGGTGAACGAGCATGGATGTAATTTTCAGTTTAAAAGTGGGGGGGACACGGGGGCGGGGGGGGTATCTTTACAGTATGCTCTAATGGGAAACTGGTTTCAACACAAACGGTTGTTTTCCGCTTGGTCCTAGAGCTCAACCAGTGTGAATTTAATATAGTGTAATATTGTTTTTGGATGGTAAAAAGTGCAGGGGTCAAAACCTGACTTTGGAAAAAGTGGGGGGGACATGTCCCCCCTGTCCCCCCCCTGTCCCCCCCCCCCCCCCCCCCCAAAATTACGTCCATGTGAACGAGCATTTGTCCATGCTGCCTCAAAGCTATGGAACTCATTGCCCATTGGAGTTCGGCAGGCTCCATCTCTGGCGGTTTTTAAATCTCGTTTAAAGACCCACTTTTACGCTTTGGCTTTTAGACAGTGACTCGTTTTAGTGTTTTATTGTATCAGTGTTTTAATGTGTTCTTAGTATTTATCATGTTTTATCTGCTTTTGATTTGGACTTTTATCCTCTGTTTTAGTTCTTTCGAATGGTTGTGTTTTGTTTTAGCCTGTGCAGCACTTTGGGCAGCTCCCATGCTGCGTTTTAAATGTGCTATATAAATAAACTATGCTATGCTGTGCTATGCTAAAAACAAAGGAGCAATATTATAACAACTAACATGAGCTTCAAACAAAGATTAAAAGCTATGTAGAGCACACACACACACACATACACATAAAAACAAAAGCAATATAAGGAGGTCAATATTTCCTGAGGTTTATAATAAATTTTTCATAAAATATCCTCCTGTGTTTCTACGTCTGAATGAATAAAACACAACAGGGTCCCTGTTAACATCAACGTGACTTTAATGTTTCTGAATTATTCAAATCAACAGTTCAGCTCCATCAACAGCATCCATCGGGGGTGGGGGTGGGGTGAAGAAGGAAGGATGAAAAGCTAGGACGACATTTGCTCATATGTGGAAAAAATTCAAAAAATGAGGAATTTTTTATTAGCTTTAAAAACTTTGTTATTATAGAGGAACTGATTAGTGTGGAAACGTGTAACAGAAAGAGAAAAAAACAAGAAGAGGTAAGATTAAGTAAGGGAATGAAAGGTAAACATCCGACACAGAAACAAATACAGATGGAGACAGTGAAGATAGTACAACAATAGATGAGAAAATTTAAGAAAATTTAAGAAATCGGCAGAAACCACTCCTTGACTTAAACTCCTGTGAGCTGCTGGGTGTTTAAGTATGTATTTTGTGAGTTTCATAAAACAGGAAGTGTATTAAATATGTAGCAGAAACGACCCTGCTGTCCTCTCTTCATCAACAACCAGCACCGGTTAAGAGTAAATCTGTACATCTGACTAAATAAAGACCTCTGTGGTCATCACAGCTGAAGGATGCTTCAGCTCTCTGGTCCTGATTGACTTGTTCTTGTCTAGAAAGACTCTTTGATTGCATTCACTCTTGCAAGACAAGCTTTGATCAATAAAACTAAAACATAAACACAAATGTACCCGTTTTCATTCGACCACAATGGTTTAAACCAAAGGTACATTGGTTGTGATGCATATACATGTCTTGATGCCTTTTTATCACAAACTGTCTTATTTTGGTCACCAACAACTTTCAGTGTTGTCTCTCCTGTTTGGAGGCCCGCTACAAAGTTTTGACTATTTTGGAGAACGTGTTCAAGAGTCGGGCCGTGTGAGAGGAAGACCTTATGACTTGCAATAAAAGTGAGACTTCTCAAGAACGTTTCAAGACATTTTGAATGCTGCTCTTGGTTTGTTTCCAACAGTTGCATCAATGGGACAGTGAATCTACCCGAAACCTCCCTCTCCAAGTGGGTCCAGTACATTTTGGATCAGGTGTGGCCAATAATCACACGGACGGTGTTGGTGTTTTAAACTCATTAGTGAAATTCACGTGTATGACAGATGTCAGCTTTCTGGACTGATCTCATTCTGCCACAGTGGACCCCTTCCTGCAACAACCCAGAAACCTTCGGCGTTTCTTCGTCCTCCTGTGGCCTCTGGAGCTGCCTTTGGAACAGACAGACTTCCTCAGAGTCTGGATGTGTTTCTCCTGCTCCTGAATCTTTGACTCCAGGTGGGACTGGATGGCCTTTCCAAGGGATTCAAGGTCTACGGAGGCGCCATAAACTTCCCATGTCATCCCCTTTTCATCCCACTCCACCTGCTGAGGCTTGTCTGTTGGTACTTCACACCCATAAAGTTCTTCCTTCTCATTCTGGGTCTTTTTATCATCTCTGCTCCCATCTTCCCAGGTGTGTCTTGTACTGTCTTCCATACCATCAAGGGCAGGGTTTTGCTGGAAGCCAAATGTACGTAAAAAGGGAGGGAGGCAACTTGTCTTCCTTGCATTGTCTGTTTGGCCACTCAGCTCAATGTCGATTTGATACATCAGAGAGGAGATAGGAGCTCCTTGCTGGAGGCTGGGACTTGTGGAAGCCGAGCATTTGACTACTTCCACCTGAATGCCCACGTCTCTCGTACTTCCTGGCCAATGATGGATTCTCTCAAACAGCTCAGTCATGGTCCCGGTCTCCTTGACCCAACTGGAGGCTGATGCATCAGTAGATGGAGGAAGGGCTGATGAAGAATTCCCCAGACCATCACTCTGTTTCCTATACACCAGCTTCTTCTTCTCTTCTTTTGCACTCATTAGCCTTGGCAATTGGATGGTATTTGCATTACCCAGTTGATCCAGTTTACTCAGGAAGGGGTCTGGTGTCCTTCCATTGTCTCCTGACAAACACCCATTGTTGTCAGTCACGGTCTGCTGGGATACCTCCAGACCTCCCTTGGCTCTCTCTTTGCTCTGGGTCAGGTTAAAGCGTTCCTTGTCTGAATCGTTCTTAATTTTTTCTGTTGTCTTGGGGATGGAGTCAAAGGTGAGACCCCGAGTCAGACCAGTATTACCGGATGAGCTGCTGGGATGTATTACGTCTTGTGAACATTCTCCCATGATTTTGATTTTAGGCTTTGAGGAGCCCAAAGGTGCCAAGAGTCCTGAAATAAACCATCAAACAAAAAGAAGTTAATGGTGAAAACGTCCATCATCCCTTCAAAAGAGCATGCTTTTTGTTTGTGTTTTCAAATAAAATAAGCAAACTTTTTAGTACATTTTGAAACTATAACTGAACAACCCTTTGTTGTAAATAATTTTGGCATAATTTAAGTGTATAGGATGTGATGAGATTTGGTAACTGCGACCGTCTTTTTACACCATCTTTTTCCACTCAGACCTGTGTCTCGATGGGTTGTGACAGTTGGAGACAAATTCTCAAACATATTCAGAGATGTTGAATTCCCTCATCCCTTGCTGGGCAAAGCCCTTGTCACTTCACAAATTCACAGAGACTATAATGGGAGCGTCGCTTCGTGTGTCTCAAACCTATCTCGAACATGTCTCTGTCAGGGACTTGCATAAAGCAGCCAGGAGAGCACTGATGATTTTCTTGACGTCTTAATTTATTACCTTTTTTTTTTCTTTTCTCAAAAGAGGGTTCCAACCAGTACTTGAAATGACAAAAGAATGGACGTCGTAACAAAGGAACCCAAACTCAGGACCCGACTGCAGACATGTACAAAAACACACCTCTCTACAGACACAACTGGCTCAACTTAAATAGTGGCTGATCAGACCACTGCCAACACACTGGGGTAAGGGGACATCAATTAACAAAGAACATAAATAAACTACCCCTAACAAATACAGACTAATCAGTCCGTCATGTTTGAGTTACTTAAAATGAATACATATTACTATCAAAACCCAAATACTATTTACAAAAGAGAATAACTAAATAGACAAACACAGGAATCTCTTCTCCCTTGAGAGTTGGTATGACCCAGTGGTGCTGATTAGGCCAAGTGAAGTGATCTGCAACAGCTGCTCCAACTCCAAGGCCACTGGCAACCAGAAGGCAAATGCAAGTTTTCTGAATTACAAATTCAACAATAAGGCCCTGTTCACACGTAGCCGGGGATCTGCCAAAACGTAGATATTTTTCTACGTTTTGGCCTGTCATCCACACGAAAACGGAGTTTTTTCACACGAAAACGGATCTTTTTAAAAACTCCGGCCAAAGTGAAGATTTGCGTTTTCTCCGTTTTGGGTGTCTGCGTGTGGACGGACAAAACCGGAGTTTTAAGGTCCGCAGCGTCACTTTTCGCGACAAAAAAATGCTGACATCACGTGTGCGACCTGTGTTTACACTAGCCGACATCATGGATGTCTTCAGAGCTGCACTCTGTCACTACCCGATCCATCAATTGTCCAAGCGCTTTCTGCTTGTTTGTTTTTGCAAGCGGAATTACTGCTCCTTGCGGAAGACCACAGACGAAGGACGAGGTTAAGAACGGGGGAAGTACTGCCGTCTACAGGTCTGGCATGTCCTTAACAACGTATTTATCCGGGTACGTGTGGACAGAGTTTGTTTTTAAAACGCGGTGGTGTGGATGCAAGTTTTTGGAGGGGCGGATATTCGTTTTTGAAAAACCCGGCTACGTGTGGACTAGGCCTAAGTTTGGAATTACTGGGCACGATTTCGAAAGCATTCCCAGTGAAATGTCTCTTGTTGGAGACCATAGTATTAGCCAGCGAGCCGTCATTTGGATGGCATGCTTTAAAAAATGACAGCCTAAACAACAAGGGACGTCTTTAAATTTGATAGTAAGCCATCCCTGTTGTCTGTAATATCTCATCAAGAATTTGCATTTTGTGGAAGTAAAATTAAAATCTGATTATTGCACAAATCTCTTGGCACACATGGTCAAGTCTGTACCACCGGACATACGCAGATTCATTGGAGGGGTTTACCCAGCACGGATCCCTGTTTCTGTCAACTGTGAAAGCAGCGACGGCAGCAGATGGATGAAGATGTGCTTGTAAAGGTGGGGTAACGTCGGTTACACAGACCTGGTTTGGGTCTGAGGAGTCTGATGTTCAGCAGAAAAACCTCCACAGTGCAATATTCTGAATGCCTTATCTGAGTTAAAAGCTTGTTAACGTAAATGACCTTAATTTTTATTTACACACAAATGCACAGGTTTCATAAGGAGTGTCCATCAGCTATCACCAGCTAGCTAGAAGATAAGGCCAGGCAAGGCGGCTTTATTTGTACAGCACATTTCAAACACAAAGGTCATTCAAAGTGCTTTACAGAAGCAACAAAAGGAAGTTGACTTCCTCCAGTTAAACTCTGAAAAGACTGAAGTCTGAGAGCATGGTTCCACTGCTTAGTCAACAACTTTGTCATTTATCTTCTGTCGTCAAGATGAACTTAAGGAATTTGAGTGTTTTTGACCAATCAATGTCTCTTGAAGGCCACTCAAAAACGTTGGTCCGAAATTGTTTTTATCAACTAAGAAATATCTCCAAACTGTGAAGTTTGGTGTCAAAACATGAACTTGAAATAGTCATCCATGCCTTTATCTCCTCCCGTCTAGATTACTGTAACACACTCTTCACATGTTTTAACAAAAAGCCCTTGACGGCCTTCAGTCGGTCCAGAACTCTGCAGCGAGGCTCCTAACTGGAGCAAACAGAAGAGCACACATCACTCCTATTCTGATGTCTCTGCACTAGTTACCCGTTAACTTTAGAGTTCATTTTAGAATCCTGATTAAAACTTTCAGGGCTCTTCATGGTCAAGCTCCTCCCTATATTACTGAACTGTTAAAGCCTTATTCTCCAACCCGAGCCCTCAGGTCCACACACCAGAACCTTCTAGAAGTTCCAAAGATTAGATATAAAAGTCGAGGTGATCGCTTCCTCCGGGCTGTTGCACCCGAACTTTAGAATGATCTTCCTTCATCCTTATGTAGCACTGACAGTCGGGACACTTGTAAAAAACAGCTAAGGACCCTTTTATTTAAAGCTGCTTTAACTAAACCTTTAATTTTATTTTCTTCATCTGTACAATGACTTAAAAATGTTCTTTCTGTTGTTTCATATCTTGTAGTTTGACTTGTGATTGTTTTATGATTTTTTGTCTTTAAACTATTTCAAACTTTTCGTGTCCTCTGATTTTAATTATTTTTCATCTTAATTTTATTATATTTTGTTGTTTTGTTTAATGATAATTTTACGACTTTATGATGGTTTGTGATTTTTCTTTTTGGGATAAGTGCTATTTAAAAAAACGTATTCACTTTTTAAAACAAGTTTTGAACATTAAATATTCTTTAAATGAAATTCTATACTTTATTAATTTATGAAAAAATTAATATCAAAATTTGACATTGCACCCACCCTCCCCTCCCCCAGAGGGGGACACCCACTTTCCCAGTTTCTGGCTGGAGATGCAGTCCTGGGGGAGTCAAAACGCATTGGGCTTCAGAGCGTCTGCAGACATCATGTCTTGAACATGACTTGTCAGTAAGTGCTGGACTGGAGTGAAACACCCTTTTGTCTGGTCCAGATTGCCCAGTTGCACCATATTTGTAACTAATGCACAAAATGGCTGAGTGCTTTAAAACTTTGAAATCTCTTTAGTAGTGCAAATTTTTGACAAACCCAAACTATTCCTGCAACACGTGTCTCCAACAAGCCACCAAAAGCCACAGCCCAATGAAATACCGTTTTAAAGGGTTTGCAACCACACAAAATGAGGAAACTGAGACAGTGTTTGATCCTTTCTTCTGTTGTTGATGGTGGAGCATTAAGGAGATAAGATCAGCAGTGATTCTGGCACCAATGATCGAAATCACTTTTAATGTCAACTCTATAGGACCACATTATGACTACTCTGACTTAGAGATACCAAGACCCCGGAAACCATGTCACTAAGGGAGAATAGAACTTTTTGACAAGATAATTACCTGATGAAGAACTGGGACTTATCTGGTCTTCCTTGTTTGGTCCAGCTGAACTTAGACCAAGACTTGTCCCAGGTCTGGAGTCCATATTTCGATTTACTGATATCAAAGATGTTGTCAAAGCTGATTTTTCCAGAGCTGACTTTGAATTTGACCAAACTGGTCCAGACCTGGGAGAATCTGATGGATCTAGACTGGACTCAGCTGTAGAACCCGTGGTTTTAAGTCTTCCTCTGGAAAGGAGGGATAAGGAAACAGACCTAAGAACATTGACGGAGAAATCAGGTGGCTTTAGGGTAGGAGATGACTGGGTGGCATCGAAGTCATACCTTGAGATGAGATCAGAAACAGAGCCGACCTTCAAGTCAGACCCTGAATAAAAAACCTTTTGAGAATCTTTGTGGGTTTTCGTTGTTTGGGGTTTTGTGCTGGTTTCTAAGTCTAGAGTGTCGCTGAGACCAATCTTAAATTTGGGAGCAGCTTTGGAGCTCCAGTCCATTTTATAGTTTAAGCTGTCCTTGAAGTCCAAACTGCTTTTAGAAGCTGAGCTGCTTTTTGAATCCAGAGTGTCTCTGGACCCAGTTTGGGATTTGGAGTTTGTACTGGTTTTTGAACAAAGACTGTCCTTGGATGCCCTTGTTGCTTTAAAGCTTGAGCTGGATTTGGGTCTAGATTTGGACTCTAATCCAGTACTTGAATCTTTAGCATGGAAACGTTCCTTGGACTCTGATGTTCCACTGGTTCTGGTCCAGGTGGGTTTCCTTGCACCTGTGAAGGACATTTGGGTTTTCAGGGCTGCTCCTGGCTTCATTTTGCTGGTTTTAGACACATCTGTTGGCGGACTGATGGGATTTGGATCTTCTTTCTGACTGTGAACTCTTGGGCCTGTTTTTATGGTGAGGCTCACAGTCATCTTGGTGGTCTTCGCTCTTGCTTCGGTGGTCAGAGCAGAACCAGGTTTTGTTGCTGTTCTGTGTCTGTCTGTGGTTCTGGCGCTGCTCATTTGTAATTTCTGTCGTACGTCTCTGTTGTTCACGACCATCTGAGAGATCCGTGACCTAGAAGATGTTGGAACGATACTCTTTTGTTTCTCACCAGGTGACATCAGCGTAGCCTTGGTCTCCATGGTTACCTCACCCTTTACTCCAGGTTCCCCTCCATCTTTGTTTCTGTCCTTTTTGTTAGTTGCTTGGAGCTTTAAGGCCTTTGTGATGGGGCGCGGGTTACTTGGAGAATTCAGATTGAAGTTGAGGTTGAAGTTTGGCTCCGCCCCCCGGTTAGCATTGGGATCTATGTTTCCTAGAGGGTCAAAAAGCTCCAATTCCCCCAGGATACTGGAATCCAGTTGGCTGTTCTCCTCTATGTGTGTTGTTAGATTTGATGGTGTTGCCATGGAGATGATTTCCACCTGTTATCCTACTGAAGGTCTCTACCTGTTTGGACAAATGGAGACATAATTAGGACAGGACGAGTCTAGTTTCAGATTTCCTAGTTTCTTTTGTTACTGTAACATACCAGTGGTAAAATTTTCACCTACAAAATGACCAGGAAGGAACCTACTTCCCGATTAATTCAGTTTCCAGCTGATGTCCAATTCGGTCAAATCGATGGAAAAAGCATTTTGAAACCATCTTCTCCTTCGACATCAAGTCAAAGCCTCTCCGCATCGCTGCGAGTGATTACAGACACAAAGACTGAATTAAGAGCCACTCAATACCTCAGACAGACATCTAACCTGCAGGCCCTGGTTAAGTCTCATGGCCGGTGAAAGCTGAAACCAAGGGGTTCTCGTGGTCTCGACGTCTGGTGGCTAACCACTCGGGCCGCCTTTCCTCCGGACCGCCGGGAGTGACACGTAATAAGGATATCGTAGTCTCTGCACACTGGTGTCGCACGGTTTTATAAACAAATCTGTAGTTTACCAAACATAATGCCAAATTGATTTTACAACCCAGACTCCACAAACTCTCAGATACTTAAGAAAGGTTTTGCTAAAACATCTGGCTTCCATTCCAGCATTCCACACATCACATTAAATCACCTCATCATACCTTGTCTCGTATAATCATTAGTTTAAGGAAATAGAAATAAATTTATTTTTATAAACTATATACTTGACTCTGTCTGGATTAATACGAAGTGTGTTTATGGTCCCTGAATAAGTAAAAGTAACTAGAATCTTCTGATTAAACGTTGAAAGATCAGATTGATATTTCATTTTTATATGGAGTCATCACATCTTGTTGATCATTCGTTACAGCTGCAACGTGATGAAGGAGCTATTCCTCCAAGGTTATTTAACCTTTTCCACAGTTCTCCCTGACACAGCGCCAGAGTGCATGAAACAGCCTCAAGGTCATGCATTCGCTTCTAAACTGTTTACTTTCCAGCAATTAAGACAGAAGATGAAGAGACTCTTTTCTTTTATTAAATCAAAGAACTCTATTTTTAATAAAGCTAATCAAAACAACTGTTAGTCTAATACAATGTGACTGAGCTGTGAAATCACAATGTTATGATTAATATGTTTTAATAAGTAATATGACTTAATCTAGTTCACTAGACACACTGACACACGTAAGGAAAACAATCACATGACACATTGCTGTTGCTGATCCAATCAGAACCTTCCTAACGTTGAAGCGTTTCCTTTCGTGTTGGGAGGGGATCTGCTCCAATGCTTTAAAGCCGGCATTTCACTCGAGGATTGGACACTCCAAACTCGGGTGACTCAACCGATGCCCTTGGCATCCCTAGAGCACCTCGTTACATGTCCAGGCGGTGACAACAACAACGGAACCGCCAACCTGGTCGATCAGTCCAGTACCAGTAAGGTCAGTGACATCCAGAGAGTCTGCGTCGTCTCTGCAACACCACTCCACACGGAGGTGGGGAGAACACCTACCCTAGTGGGAGTTGGCGGTTGCAGTGACACACCACCTGAGACTCAGCACCCTGCGGTGGGGACATCACCTGGCAAAGGGGGGACTGATGGTGGCGCTGATACTCCGGCTAAAGCCCAGAACCTTGCGGTGGGGACTCCCTCTGCCGAAGGACAGGCTGATGACGTCGCTGACACTACTGCACTACAGCAGGCGCTGGTGACCTTTAGCCCAGAGGTTGGTGACCCACCTACCGAAGGCAAAGTTGTCCGGTGCCCTGTACCACCACTGGTTGACCCCGATCTCTCTGACTGCACCTGTGCGTCGACCGAGGGCCCTCCGGGGCGCCCACCTGCGCCGAACCCTCACAAGAACGTGCCAGTCTGCAACCTACAACGTTCCTGGTTTCCATTTTCAGGTGTGATTAAATACGTTTTGTTAGTCGCGTGTTTCGGTCTGCTATCAACTGCAGTTAATATCCATCCTCAGCCACCTCGAACGCGCCTGTATGAACCTGGACCCTCTTCGGGTATCACACTCCGAGACCGCCCAGGTCTACTAATGACTAACTATCGTCTATTTACACAAAAGATCTTCGTCAAATTCGACCCCGCTATGGAGTGTACTGATAGGATGAAGATAAGAATGTAGCTGATCCTTAACGCTACATTATGAAATATTATATATATTATATATTATAAAATTGGATGATTTATCTAAATTTCGCAAACATCAGATCTTCTCAGATGACATGAGAAGTAATAAACAAGCTCACAGACCAGCCTGCTGATCCAATATGACACATCACATTATAAACAAGGTACAGGCTAGTTCAGCTCGAAATAAGGTATTTTTAAAAGGACTTTACGGAGTTTTTAAGTTTTATGCTCGCGATTGCCTCTCAGGCCAAAAGCGTAACGGCAGCTTCAATAGAAGGCTCGCGCACGAGGCACGCATGCTGTACGTGCACACTCCTTAATGAAAATAACAGCTGAGACAGTCAGCTCCGTGTGTGTGTGTGTGTGGGGCCCGGAGGACAGAGGACAGGAGAACGCACAGCTAATTAATTAAATAATTTGGTCCTGTATACCTTTCTCTTCAGCACAGCCGACAAAGGTTTATGATGGGTCAGTCCTCCTGCATGCTCAGATCATTCCCTTCCCTTCCCTGAATAATTGTTCCAAAATGAAAGTTGAACCCACATCTTTTTCATCTGTGAATTCAATGCCGTTCGGCGAGTCTCAAATAAAAATTTGGGCATCTTACTATAAAAAAATATACCATTAATGTAAAAAAGAAACTCTAAATAAACTATGTTCACATCCAGAATCAAACCCAGGTCTTCCGCACGAAAGTCTGACGTCTTGCCAGGCGAGCCAACGCGGCAGTAAAGTCACGTGTGTCTGTACCATTTAAGAACGGTTTGAAGGGCGATGCCTGAGCGTGAACGCGCATGAAGCAGCCTGCTCGACCCGAGCATCTCTCTTTTTCTGTGATTTTACAGAAAAACAGGCAATCACAGTAAAAATGCCAGGGCTCATCCTACAGGACCAGGGCATTGCAGGAGAATGTATGAAGAAGACATTTATTATTTCTATACATGTTTTGGCTGTCAAACTTCCATAATGCCCCTTTAATAAAGATAGCATAAAGATGTTCCAAATGTTGGCAGAAAATTTCAACCCAACATTTCTGCTTTTATTTGCTTATGATCCGATGTTGTGCATGAATCATATGCATGTTGATGTCTTCCAGCTGAGATGTTGGGTCATCTCAGATTCAAGTGGAACCACAACAAATAAAACCCATGTTTAGAGGGACATGCCATGACGGATGAAGATATGAAACATGAAAATTTCAGGAAGTATTTGGAACGTCTGTACACTAAACGTGGAAATGTGTCATTAAATTAAGGCAAGTTTCTTTTTACTAAAGTTTAAACGAGTTTTAGATCTGCTCACATTTTGTTTCAGAATGGCAGAATTCTCAGATTCAAATTTAAAAGACTAAAAAGCCCCGAATCCTAAAATCCAGAGCAGATTTGAAGCCTTTCCACCATCTGATGGCAGTAATACTGAGGACATAAAACCTTTTCTCTACTAAATGCAACAAGAATATCCAGTTGTTTTACCTGTTTAGGGTCACATCAGATGATGGGGGTTGATGGTTAAAATCCCATCATACGAGAACGCCTGAGAGTAAAAAAAGACCTTTAATTGCTCCGTTTCTTCCTTCTCACTGCTCCAGAGGAAAAACATCAGTGCATAAATGAACAGAGAGCACCGTTCTCCCCTCCTCTTTTCTCTCATTCCTCCATTATTTAACTCCCCTTTCTCCTCCTCTTTACTCTTTAATCTGCTTTCATCTCATCAGCTTTTCCTGCCTCAGTTCCTCTCAAAATCTAGAAATCTGCAGGGAAGAAAATAAAACCTGCCACATGGAGAATCAGTCACACTCAGATCAGATGTCAGCAGGTGTCTCCTTCAGTGGCATTTACCTGGGGGTGGTACCAGGAACGAGCCCCCGCTGGCCCAACAGAGCCAGTATTGTACCATTAATACCACTAATCAGATGCTCAGTCTTTTGTTAATTTTCATTTCTCAGAAACCAACACCTCCTCTAAAACTGGTATTTAGTTTATTAGAACTCCAGGTTTGAGCTCATCTTTCATTTTAAAGCCACAAAGTTAAAAACTGCTCACTAAGCCTCTCATTTTTCTGCTTTTTCATCCATATCCAGTCTGAATCACGAAGTAAAGCTGGTTCATGCTCGTCTTTCTGACCTGCTGCTGTGGGCTACTGATGCACGTGCTGCCCCCTCGTGGCCACAGGGAGCAACACCAAAGAAAAACCAACAGTTTTTCATGTTTTCAATTTAAAAAAAAAGTATAATTAAATTACAAATGTTAGCATGTAACGCTTACATCATTGTGGCGTTAAAGAGCTGTTTCATTTAAATTTGGTCTAATATCTAAATATTGCATTTTCAGAAAAATAAAAATCGACCCCTCCAACCGGGGGGATCGGTTAGATACAGGAAGTTGGAATAAAATACCTTCAAAATAAAGCTCACAACACAAAGCAGGTGACTTTAATGAAAACATCACTGTAAATGAACAAACCAGCCTCTGTGTAACACCAGAGTATAAATTAACTAGTGGACATTAAACCTGGAGGAAAACGACTTTACAACAGGAACTCGGCTCTGACAGGAAACAGGATCACTGGTGGGACTAGGAACAAACACTGGAGCTGGGATCGACCCGGTTTATTTACTGGAGCTGGCTTCTCTCACATCCAAACGGACGTTCAACAGAACTCTGAAAGTTCCAGGTCAGGGGGTCGGAGTCTGGATTACAAAAATAAACTTCTCCTCTGGTATCAAAATAGACGACAGTCTTCTTCTCTCAGGACACCTCTAGCCGACCCGGGTTGCAGGCTAGGAACGGATCCACGACTTGTGATGTCAAACACACAACGCAAAAACAGAACTCACCACGGATTGTCGGAGTTAAACGTGTTTAGGGGCGCTAGCGGAGTGCGGGGGTTGGACCAGGAGACTACAGCAGGGTAGCACTGCAGGTGCTTTCAGACCAACATGAAGGTTCAGACGAGTTCCCAGAGGAACACGCTGGTCTCTGATCCTCGGAGCTTCATTAACACGTGTGAGTGAGCTAACTCGCTAACCGCTCCCGCCTGGCGGCCTCTGGCATCCCGGTCTAGGAACAAACAACGCAGCTCTGACCTGATCCCTGGTCAGTCTCACAGTGATCCACACCTTCAGTAGTGGAACGGGGGCGATCTGTAAACTAGCTCACACTGGTGAAGCTCTCACATCAGAATAAATACTACACATTTCTGTAAAGTCCTTCCAGGGTTCTGGACCAGATCCAGGCATCCGTGCTGCAGGAGTCCTGGAGGTCCAACATCAAGAAGAAAACCTTCGTTCACAGAACCTGAATCAGCTGATCAGCTCATCCAGGTGTTTTTAGATCTGGTTATTTATGGATGTGTGTGTGTGTGTGTGTGTGTGTGTGTGTGTGTGTGTGTGTGTGTGTGTGTGTGTGTGTGTGTGTGTGTGTGTGTGTGTGTGTGTGTGTGTGTGTGTGTGTGTGATCAGGAGAACCTTCCTGTGGTCCAAAAGCACCTTCCCAGAGTTCCTCCCAGGCGTCGGAGCGAGAGAACGGACCAGACATGACAGAGACACTGAGTTCTGCAGCAGGAAGTCCTGATGTTCTCCTGAAGACGCCGGACAACCAGATCCATGCTGGGTTCCAACTGAGCTTCACAGGAGGAAACCGGGATGGACTTTTGCTGCGTCAGCATTTCCTAATACTGTAGGGCTTCCTCCTCCACTCAGGCAGCTCCCCCCCCCACACCGGCAGAGGAACCACCGCTCCTTTCAAAATAAAAGTATTTTGTTTACCAAAATAAGAGTCATCAGAGAAAAGAACCCGACACAAACCAGAACAAGGAGAAAGAGTCCGGATGGTTCAGGGTGCAGAACCTCCAGAGTCCAACCACAAGGACCTTTTGTAATGAAGGTCTGGTTCTGTCACCCAGCGAGCCAGGGGGGGGTGGGGGGGTGGGGGGGTCAAAGTCAGAACAGAACCGAGACAACCACGGCAGGCTCGGGTGAGTCCAAGTCTAGACCTGGAGAGTAAGACCAGAACAATTGCACCAGAAAAGTCCAGAGTTGGCTCTGAACGGATTCTAGGAACAGGAACCAGACCAGTCCTCTGAGTCCTAAACTCTGGACCCGGTTCTGGTTCTGACAGAACCGGGCCCCGGTCCAGTCTCTCTCTGGTCCCAGTCTGAGCTTTGGCCTGGTTCTGGTTTGGTTCTGTTGGGCTGCTCTCAGGACTTCATCCCCATCCGAGGCTGCTCCATGGACCCCTCCTCGTCCAACAGACCCGTTTCCACGGCGATGACCAGCGACGCCACAGAGGAGCTGCTGGGCATCGGCTGCAGCTCACCTGGAGGGTAAAGAACCAGGATTAAGTAAAACCTGGAACTAAAAAAAATCTATTATTCAAACGTTTAAACAGAAAAATGTTAGAGACAAAATATTCTTAAAAGTAAAGTAAATAAAAAAAATTACAGTTTCTGCAATATAAACAACTCATTTTACATCTGAATAAAACCAATAAATAAAAACTCTTCTGGAAAAAATGGATTTATTCTGGTTTTAATCCTGAAAACCAACACCAGGGGGCAGTACAACACCACCTGTGTGTGTGCGTGTCTCACCCATGTGTGTGTCGGTGGTGGCAGTCACTGGGCTGTCCCGTAGGGTGTCGGGGTCCTGGTAGTCCTGTGGGAGTCCCAGCCGTCGAACGCCAGGATCCAGAACAACCAAGGATCCGCCCTCACTCAGCGCCCCGTCGCTCGACGCTCCGGACACCACCGCCTCTAGGGCCAGGGCCCCGACTCCGCCCATCCCGACCCCACCTACGCCACCCAGAGCCAGGTCGTAGTCCAGGGGGAGCTCGTCCAGGCAGTCAGCGTTCAGCTGGAACCAAAAGGGAAAGATTCAGCCTCACAGCCGCCCACGCCCAGATGTTTACAAGTCAAACAGCTGGACTCACCGCCACGCCCAGGGCCTTCAGGATGTTCATCTTACACATGGGACAGGTCCGGTGGTCCAGCAGCCACGGGTCCACACAGCTCTTATGGAACAGATGCCTGCAACGGTGAAAACACCCGTTTAATCTGGGATGAGTGAGAGCCCAGCAGGAGGAGCGGAATTATGGGAATTACAGGTTAAAGGTCGGATTTAATCGCCCGAGACGCACTACATCAGAAATGATCACAGCTCTTCGCTAAGAAACTTTGGTCTGATCTAATTTCACAGATTAAAGAAAAGTTCTTACTTAGAGTTTTTAGTAAAAACAAACGTCTAAAGTCATAAAAAGAATATTATTTAAGTAGATCTAACTCAGACTGAACTTCCTGTCAGAGAAACTCCTAGATCACGTCTGAGCAGGCGCCCTCGGGACTTCCTGTTCCAAACGTACCCGCCGCTCTGCTCTGAGTTCAGAGGTCACGGTGAGGTTACCTGCAGGGCAGGATGCGGACGACGTCGTTGGGCTTGTAGCCTTCGATGCAGACGGCGCAGTTGTCGAAGTCGACCTCGGTCTCCTGGTCGCCCTTCCTGATGGTGCGAAGTTGAAGTTTGCTGATGGCCTTCTTCGCCGCGTCGCCAAGACGACGCTGGAGACAAACACGAGGACAGGTTTTCTCTAAATGAGAGAACATTCTAGCGTGTTTCTAGATGTAACTATTAAAGTTACGTCTCAAACATCATGGCTGCCAGACTGTTTTAAATAAGCAGCCCCCCCCCCCCCCCCCGTACCTGGTTGCGGTCCCGCGCGTTGGCGTATCGGAACCTCTGGATGTAGTAGAAGACGAGCCAGGCGAGGGAGATGATCATCAACACGATGAAGGAGATGGACACGAACACCACCGACGTCCTGCTCACGTACTTCTGCAGGTTCCTCGTCCCGATGGTGATCGTCATGGTGACTGTGATGTTGCGCTCCAGCAGGGAGACGACCTCAAGACCTTTTGGCTCAGGAATCATGATGGCGACCACATCACCTGTTCCTGAAGGTGAGAAGACTCGCTGTGAGTTCTACTAAAAAGGCGTGTGTGGGTTTTACCAGACCGATCCCATCAGACGTTCAGATTCACCAAGTAAAGCTTTATTTAAACCCGTGTTGACAACAGAAACAAGCCGCAGTACTTCCTGTTTGCAGTACTAACCGGTTCTACTAAAGGTCAAAGTTCTGTCTCTAACCAGTAACGAGCACTATGGGCATTGTTGGAGAACGTCTTTAGACCACAACAGGAAGTGTGTTTAGAGTGAGATAGGACAGTGGTCCTGATAGGAGAACCTGGTTCTCAAAGCAGGAACCGACTCTGAAAGCAGCTAGATTGATATCCGCCATCTTGAATCTATCAGTTTTGTGACTGGAGGAGAAACCCAGAACGAAGGTTTCAGAAGACATTTGAGCATTTGTACCACGTCACCAGAAGTTTGCTCTCTTCTGTCTGACACAGGAAACCTGGTCCAGGTCCAGCTCCTTCCATAGAGTAACGATTAAATTTACGTATTATTTAATGAACCATAAAATGTGAGATTCCATAGCAAATATGAAATCAACTTTATGGATCTTTGGATAATTTAAACCAGAAGATTGGAACTTTTTATTGCAGGGATTATGTAACCACTTCGTATTAACTCAGAGACAAAAGAAAGAGAGTCAAGTTTTAAAAGTTTAAAGATATATTACTAAACAAATTAAAACTAGACTAACTTTAAACACTAAATGTATGGTGTAAATAAGGTGAAGGGAGACGGAGGATGGTGTAGTGTGGAATGTTGTTCAGAACCAGCAAATCCGGAGAAACGATTAGTTCTGATGGGAGTGAAGATGATGTTTCGCTCTAAGCTTTTGGTTTGGAGATTCATAACACACACTGAGACACTATTCTGCCATCCTACGTATCCTTTCGGAAGTCCCCGTTAGATCAGGAATGTCGAGGTCCAGCTTGACCTCCTCTGGAACCGAAGCCGGTAGGAAAAGCAGCGGTTGCCGACCAGACCAGTCTTGAGATACTTCCGGGTCACAACAGTTTTATTGGCATCTAGCGAGACCCCTTGGGGTCGTGATGGTTCAGCTTTTATTCTGAAAGGAACCGTTGCAGCAGGTGGAACAGCAACAGATTTTATCCAGCTTGTCGTTAGGTTCTTTCGGCTGAAGAGGAAAGTTACGGATTGGTCACTCCGACAACTTCTCTAGAACGCTCTGAACTCGAGTTTAAGATGACGTGGGCATAGTTTTATAATTTGGATCATTTGATTTACGGTCGAATCAAAAAGGGACACCAAGAGGGGGTTTACCAAGCAGCACCAAAACACGCCTCGCGTCAGATCTGGAAGGCTCTGATTGGATCAGAAAAAGGAAATGTGTCATGTGATTCTTAACATTACGTATGATCAGTCTCTAGTGGAAACATTAGAAGTTATATTACTTATTATAACTTACTAATCATAAACATTGTCATTTCACAGATTGGTTCACATTTTATTATTGGACTAACACTTTGTTTAATTAGCTTATTAAAAATAGAGTTCTTCTGATTTATTAAAAGAAAGAGTCCTTTGTCTTCATTCTTCTCTTGAGCTGGAAAGGAAACAGTTTAGGAGCAGAGCATGAGACCTTGAGCACTATCTCATGCAGATTAGGTTTGTGTCAGAGACTTCTGGTTTTGCTTTGAGCAGAGCAAAACAGCACAGGGCCTTTTAGGTCAGAAATGGACAAGTCATCACGCTACAACAGGAACATATCTAACAGCAAACATCTGGGCTGCTTTTACCTGGAAATGTCACCTATTCAGATGTGCTGACTACAAAGGGAAGGATGCCACAGGTTTTATCATGACATTCTGATTCTTGGCTGCTCCTTATGGGATGTTCTGACTGCTGGTGCGACATTGTGACAAATGGATCAGACGAAAACCGTTTCCACTTCATCATCATTTTCTCAGACTTGGTTCATCCGAAACACGACGGCCAATTTACTGATCCAATAACAGCCTGGGCCTGATGCATCCCCACATCACCATGACGACCACCGCTCTAAAAATACCCTTTATGAGCCGATGCGGTGGGCGAGGCGTGGAGCGGCCCGAGCATGAGATTATGCAAGAGCCTCTCCGAGGACTGTTCACGGGATTTCTGTAATCCTGCAGCAGGCTTTTACTGCAGATCCTCTCAGAGAACAACACGCCTGAATATGGAACACCATTATATCATAAATACAGGAGTACCACCTGGTTTAGGCAGGAGGGTACTATACACTCACCGTACCCATTTATATTACCATCTATAATAAACTTGTGTGTAGTAATAATAGATTTAAGAGGTCAAATTTATAAATATTAAAAATCCCAAGAAAGAAATCAGAATTATAGCAAAGTGTTTATTTTCTCATTTATTTTGTTGACATTGAAGTATTTCTATGGTTTTTGTGATCATGCTTTAATTGGACTTTCATGTTTAAATAGAAAACATGAGTTTAGATAAAGACTGACAGCCTAGATGTGGAATAAGAGAACAAGAAGGACCAGAAAAGCCCAAAGCATCCACAATTTAGTGAACCGAAACTTTCTTTTTATGGTCGAACAGTGTGTGGGTGTGGGTGTGTGGGTGTGTGTGGGGGGGGGGGGGGGGGGTATAGAATCACAACGGGTCTGAATGTGCTGACTACCTGCCAAAGCAGAGATGGCAGAACCACCACATTCTGAGGGGAGAGAACGTTTCAGCCTGGACCGTTTTAGACGTGACACACTCTGAGCCTGATCACTTGAGTGTGTTTGCATAAAAACGAAGATGGGTCTGAGTTGTGATGAGTTTAACTTTAGCCTGAGTTGGTGACTTACAAAAGAGATTAACTGTAGCAAGATGTTACTACCGCGTTAGCATAAAGAAGCTAATTATTAGCCATGGCGACTCCATTTCCTCAGGGCTGTTTTAACGTGAAGAGGTAGTGTGACTGTGTTTTCAGAAACACATTAGTTAAACAAAAAACAACTGTAACAAATGCTGGCACACGTTTGCCGGATCGTCCAGCCCTAGCTGAGGTTCGGTATCGACCCTAAAGATCGGTGCACGCGTATCAATCAAACTGATGAGTATTGAGGGAAAAATGAACAGAAAAAGAGGAAACAAAGCTGAAACAGAAAGGTCAGGGTTAAAAATTCCTGCTTCCTGGAGCCAAACCAGATCATCGACCCTCCATATCTGCTTGTTTTCAGTAACTAAACTTTATTTATAAGCACTCGTCGCAGACAGAACATCACAAAGTGCTTCACATAGCTCAAAACAAAACAAGTAACGTCATAGAATCATAATGATTAAAAATCAAGTCATTAAATGATAAAATACCATAAAACAAATGATAGATAATAACTCTTTTGAGTTATAAATAGGAAAACTAAAGATTTATGTAAAAGCTGTTTTTTAAAAGCGTCCAAACTGTTAACTCGTTCGCTGCCAGCGGTTTTCAGCGTTTTTACTGTTTTTTTAAGAGTCACAGAACGTTGCACTCCATGATGATGTCGACGCCAAAACTACCAAAACAAAGAGGAAGCTCACCTCTTACATCAGGAGGAATCTGCGTGTTTCGAGCGTTATCCGTTCTTTCCGTTGTCGAATTGTGATTGGCAGAAGCTTTTCCGGTTCACACCTCACTTTTTTTTACAGGAGTGGTCCAAAACGATCTCCTAACACATGGATGTCTGCCTCCTGATCATGTGATGCAGATCGGCTTTAGAGCTGGGATGTTTGTTCACACAGTGCGGGGGCTCGTTCCGACGCCCACACAGTCAAACAATGCAAATGAGGAATTTAGCCGTCATTGACAGTGTAACGGTTGGGTTTAAAATGATGACTTTTCTCGTCAGTGGCAGTGAATGAGTTATTAACAGTGTTGGGAGCGTTACTTTAAAAAAGTAATTACTTATAGTTACTGATTACTTTGTCAAAAAAGTAACTCAGTTACTAACTGAGTTACGAGATAATAAAAGTAACTACTGGTAATTACCAAGAAAAATAACTACTTAGTTACTTTTTTCATTAAAGAATGCAAGAAAAATGGGTTCCCCTCTTAATTAAACTTGCTTAATTTACTATAAATGACTACAATAGTGAAATATAAATGACTAGTGTCTGGAACATAATAAAATGTCCAAAAGTTTTTTATAAACCTGCATAATTTAAATAAATTATCACTTAACAGGAGGAACTACTAACAGGAACATTACACTCATCTAGACTATTTAAAGGTCACTGTGTGATATTTAACAAGACCCCAAACAGCTCAAATGCATAATTGCGAATAGAAACACCTGTAAAGGTACCTGAGCCTGTAAATGGTCTCTCAGTCTAGTTAAATTACTGAAATAAAAGTATTTTTGCACAGTATTTTAATTTTTCCAGCTTCACATAATTGTGTGTTTTAGCAGCATTTCTGTTGCTGCTAATCTAGTAACGGTTAAATAACTAAATACAATCATTTAAAATGACACGAAGAGGCACAAGCCTGATGGAGGACTTACATTTACTAACATGGGTCAGACCCAACCACAGAAGAGCTGAAGCTGGGTGGTGAACACACACAGGTAGTTCTAATAACACCTGAGCTCCATGACGTCTGAGACTGATGCATCAGTGTTACAGCGGGACTGAAGACATGATCAGAAACAGGTTACAGCTGGATGACCTAGGAAGGTAGAAGATCAGGACGTCTGAGCGGTGAACAGGTGAGCGGACCTTCAGGACATCCCGCTGTCACGCTAAGAAGGGCACGGCTGCAGATCCACACCTGCAGCCGTAGACTATTCATCACGTCTTCTTCGTTCGTGATGCGCTTGGATGAAAACATCTGCCTCTTTAGCTCCTGATCAGCTGATGACAGCTTCAACACACCGCGCTGCTTAACGCACGCATTTTCTTTTGATAAAAGAAGACGGTAATTATTTAGATTGATTGTTACTGAAAAAAATATTTTTTTTTTAGTAACGCGGTTATTTTAAACTGT